AGATACGCGACTATGCGCGAGTCGAGACAAGGCTAGGAGCAGGTGGGTTAGCAGCGTTGCACGGAGCTGTACATGTAGGGACCACCTGCGGCTGCTGCTGCTTCTGGGGGAGCTGCTGACGACGCGTTGTTGTGAAGGAGAGAAGACAGATTTATAGAGGCAGAAGCGAGGCTGTCGTGAGTGTAGGTGTGCTCTGGTTATTCTGACACCCCCAAGCTTACTGTCAGGAAGCTGTGTGTTCTTATGTAATCCCGCCTCCCCCACACAGCTTAGCTGCAACAGAAACCCCGGAAGAGCTGGAGTTCGATAGCCGTCAAGCCACAGCAGCCAATACTCGCCCAGCCACAGTTGCACCACCACACCACGTGTGGCAAGTGCAGCCCCCTGTCGCATTCTACCCCCGGCAACCACCGCCCGAAACTCAATGGCATGTAAACAAAGCAGGAGGCAGATCCGGAGAGAGTGCCCGCCAGAGAATGTAGCACATTCTTCGCCTCCGCCTCCACGACAGCCTCCATTGCATCTTTGAGACATTGCGCACGATGGCTCTCGACGAAAGACTTATGCCCTCGTCGCCCTCGCCGGCGCCCGAGGTGCGGTTCTCGGTGGCCTCATCCGCCTCGACTCCGTCCCTGCGGTCGCGCGATGCCACAGCCATGCCCGTGATGACGAGGATGGACCGCGGCGGCAACGTCAAGGTTGTCGTACGAGTGCGCGCCTTTCTCGAGAGGGGTGGGTTTCTCTTGGCTTTCATCTGACAACAACAACGACGACGACGACAGGCTGACATGTGAATGTAGAACTCCGACGGGGCGCCAGATGCCTCGTCGACATGGACCCCGTCTCCCACATCACCACGCTCAGAGCCCCCGACGACCAGGACGCCTCCTCGGCCTCGGCCTCCAGCCCCTCCAAGGCGCGCAGGGTCGGCGACAAGAGCTTCACCTTTGACAGCTCCTTCTGGAGCCACGACCCCGAGGACAAGGACTACGCCACCCAGGAGGACATCTACAACAGCCTGGGCGAGGAGTTCCTCGACCACAACTTCGAGGGCTACCACACATGCATCTTCGCGTACGGCCAGACGGGCTCCGGCAAGAGCTACACCATGATGGGCACGCCCGAAAACCCCGGCCTGATCCCCCGAACCTGCGAGGACCTCTTTGAGCGCATCGAGGCCGCGCACAACGACGACTCGAGCGTCGCTTACAACGTCCGGGTCTCGTATTTCGAGGTCTACAACGAGCATGTCCGAGACCTGCTGGTGCCCGTCGTCCCCAACACGCCGCCCAACTACCTCAAGATCCGCGAGTCGCCCACCGAGGGCCCCTACGTCAAGGATCTCACCGAGGTGCCCGTGCGCAACATCCACGAGATCATGCGCTACATGAAGATCGGGGATGCCTCCCGCACCGTGGCGAGCACCAAGATGAACGACACTAGTAGCCGGAGCCACGCCGTCTTCACCATCATGCTCAAGCAGATCCACCACGACATGGAGACGGACGAGACCACGGAGCGCAGCTCCCGCATCCGCCTCGTCGACCTGGCCGGCAGCGAGAGGGCAAAGTCGACCGAGGCCACGGGCGTGCGCCTCCGCGAGGGCAGCAACATCAACAAGTCGCTCGCCACCCTCGGCCGCGTCATTGCCGCCCTCGCCAGCCCCAAGCAGCTCCGCTCGGGCAAGCGAAAGGACGTGGTGCCCTACCGGGACTCGATCCTGACGTGGCTGCTCAAGGACTCGCTGGGAGGCAACAGCAAGACGGCCATGATTGCTTGCATCGCGCCCTCGGACTACGAGGAGACGCTCTCGACGCTTCGCTACGCCGACCAAGCCAAGCGCATCCGCACCCGCGCCAAGGTCAACCAGGACCACATCTCGTCGGCGGAGCGCGACGCCCAGATCGCCGCCATGGCGCAGGAGATTCGCATGCTGCAGGTCTCCGTCTCCGACTCCCGCCAGCGCGAAAAGAATGCTCAAGAGGCAGAAGAGCGCCTGGAAGAGTACCAGATCCGGGTGAGCACCATGCAGCGCATGATGGAGGAGCGCAGCATGGTGGCTGAGAGCAAGATCAAGAAGCTGCAGACGGAGAACGAAGCTCTCAAGCTGCACTTGAAGCTGGCCATTGACAGTCTCAAGAATCCGATTCCACCGGTGCAGCTCAAGGAGAAGGAGGAGGAGGAGGAGGAGGACGATGACGAATACGACTACGACTCGGAGAGCACTGCTGCAGACGATGAGCTGCAGCATGAAATGGAGCGCTATCTGCAAGACATGGGCAACCTGCGGAAGCTCATTGGCGGCGACCTGACGCGGTTCAAGGACACGGACAGCGTGCGGATGCCCCTTGGTACGACGAATATTTGACGAGTATAATGAGGACGATGATACGCCACGACGCGGTTGATGAGCTTTCCCCTTTAGCAAAGTTCTTTGTTTCTTTACGTTCGATGCTTATTCCCTTTCCCATTCGAGATTATGCTGGAGGGATGATTGCGAGTCTCCCATTTTCCATACGAGGTTGTTTGTGTTTGTGAGCCACGGTGTTTTACAGAGAGTTCTTTCTGTTTGCGCGGAATATGGATGAATGGCAGGATAACTTGATGAGACTATATTGTTTTGTTCTTGAGCCTAGTCATCTACAATTCTCCCTGAATTCATTCTTTACTTCCATCTCTTCTTTTACGTCTACTCTTACTGCAGTCAGTGTCACATGCCAAGAGAAGCAAAAGGGGCATGTCTTGACATTTGTATAGCTGTATAGCTGAGTGTAATTCTAGGGATATCCAAATACCCGGCTACCTTGACCTGCTACTCGTGCCTCTTCTTCCTTTTCTTTCTCCTGCCCCGAGATTGCTTACCGCGCGATCGACCAGAGGGCCACCTCTTGGTGCCTTGTGGCCCAGGCGTCCGCTTCGGCGACCCCTTATTCACACGAGTCTTGTCAGGATGCTAACTCTGCAGCTTAGGTGTTTGTCTAAGTCTTTGTCTGTTAGCATCAGCAGCAGCAGGACCAGCATCATCATCAACGTCCATGAATTCGACACGAGAATCCCCTTCTCCGGGGCACACAACGGGCGGAGGAGGAGCATCCATCATGACGACATCAAACCCCTTATTCTTGCCCAGATAGCACGAAAAGCCCAAACTCGTCTTTGGGCTAAACGTCGAGAACTGCGTGGTCAGCAGGTCGCGCGCATCCAGCGCGGCGATGCGGCGGACGACCTCGGGCATGTAGTAGATGATGGGTGAGGCCTTGAGGTCCTGGGCTACTACTACTGCTACTACGACGTGGTGGTGGTCGTCGTCGTCGTCGTCGTGGGAGGAGGAGGACGGCCTTTTGCTTTTTTCGCTACCGCCGCCGCCGACGGAGAGGGTGTAGGCGTCGAGGATGGCGGAGAAGAAGTGCTGCGCTGTGATGAGCAGGGGAGAGGGACTCGTGTATGTGTGAGCGTCGTTGGGAGCGTGGGCGTGGGGGTTTACTGGGCAGGGGGAGAGGACGAGTGTTGCGGTTGTTCTCTGGGTTGGGGAGGGTGTTTGGGTCGGGGAGGAGGAGGAGGAGGAGGGGGAGATGCCGTCGAAGGCGTAGAGGCGGGCGGAGGAGCGGATGCTGAGGTCGAAGAGGTTCGGGTGCGCACGGAGGACGTCGTCGAGGTCTGTTGTCGCAGGGCTGCTGTAGTTGTTGTTGTTGTCGTTGTCAAAGGGGAGGGCGGGGAGGAGGAGGTGGTGGTGGTGCTGGCACCAGGCTTCGGCGTCGGAGGCGAGGACCTTGATCTCGGGGAGGGAGTTGCCGTGGTTGAGGTAGGCCAGGATGATGTCGAGGGCGCGGAACAGGGGGTTTTGCTGGGCGTGGGTGTCCATTGGGGGCGGTTTGTGCGTGTGCATTGATATGGGGTGTTTGTTACATGATGTTTAGATGAACGGGTAGGTGATAGACTGTTGTTGCTGGTTTTTGTCATGACGGCAATTGAGGTGATGTTATTTATATTACCTTTTAGGAACTGGCTACGCTATTGAATTGAACAAGACGGTTGCTGAAAGGGACTATTCAGTATAGGACATTGAAGTTTCTCCTCTTCCGAGGTTTTCTCTCATCTGCTGAATTGCGATATTGAAAATGACACGCGGTTCAACTACATGTTCTGGTCCCAGCCATTGAACAACCGTCATGATACAGTACTTTATCACTCAGCCACACAGATGAAAGCTGACAAGTAATATCCCTCTCGGTGAATCTAGTATTGACTTGCAATAATGAAGAAACAGAGGAAGGCAAAGAGAAACGAGCTACAAGGAAGACGAGACAAGCAAACGCGGTTCAACTGAAACGGAACAGAACAAACGTGTGAACGGAGAGCCAAAAAAGAGCCCGGGGATTCAAACGTGAAACAAAGGTGGCATCGCGAAACGCGCACCTGTACTTGTCAGAAAAAGACCTTCTGGTGAAACAGCACCTCGGCCGCGTTCCCACACACCCTCACCATCAGAACCGCTTCAAGTCCCTGAATCCAGTTTCAACAGCCGCTGTGCAGTTGCGTCCACATACATACTACTAGTAGTAGTATCAAGGCAGTCAAATAGAAAGGGGGGAAACAAGAGGAAAGGCCAGCATCAACTGGAACAGGATAGGACTCAGCCACTGCAGGCTTCCACTTCCAGGTCCAAAAGAACGACACATCCATGGGCTCCGGTCTGCTGTTGCATGCGCCGCAGCCCCTCCAATCACGGCGCGCAAGCCCCGCCATTTGCTGAAGAAACGGCGCCTGGGCAGGGCAAGACAAGGGTCCAACCGCTATCACCAACTGCTATAGTATTGAGTGACAACTTACACCCTCGCTCGGCCTCTTTTTCTTTTGCTTCTCACCTCTGCTGCCTTCTCTCCTCTCTCTCTCTTTCTTCTCCTTCTTCTTCTTCTCCTCCTCTCTCTGTTATAGAGTTCAATTGATGCTCTAGTCGACAGATTCCTTAGCTGGCCATCCGTCTCTCCATCTCAACTCGACAGCATCAGCCATCCTCCTCTTCCCCTCCTCCTCCTCCTCCTCCTCCTCCATCTTTCCCTCCCTCTCCAGCATCACAATGGCCACGAGACCGCAGCTCTTTACCCGCGGCCTCTCGGGCCTCTCGCAGAGCTCCAGCGCCGGCGACATCAGCTCGCCCGCCGAGCAGCGCGACGACGCCAAGCGCAACCTCTTCAAGACGATGCGCCCTCTTCCCACGCAGCACTACTGGGACGTCTACTTTGACCGGTCCGCCTTGCCCCTTTCTCTCCTCTTAGCTACATACTTTCTGCCAAACATTTCCCCCCAATACTAACGAGAGAGAAAAACATCTCCCCTCCACAGCCCCAAAGAACAAAAGCCCGAGTCCGGCTCCGGCAGCGGCAGCGGCAGCGGCCAGGAATACACGGCCCAGCTCGAAAAGATTGGCGCCCCGATCGAGTCCGTCCAGGACTTTTGGCGCTACAACAACAACACCCCCGTCGAGAACATCAAGATGCGCGAGTCCCTCTACCTCTTCAAGTCCGGCTTCCGCCCCGTCTGGGAGGACCGCCGCAACATCAACGGCGGCAGCTGGACCTTTCGCGTCCCAAAGGCCATCGGCCCGGACTTTTGGACGCGCATCCAGCTGCTGGCCATTGGCGAGAAGCTGCAGAGCGTCATTGACGAGGGTATGTTTGAGAGAGAGAGAGAGAGAGAGAGAGAGAGAGAGAGGTATGAATACTGACAAGAGTTGGGTATTTCAAAAACAGCCGATCAAATCTGCGGCGTCGGCCTCTCGGTCCGCTTCAACTCGCACCTCATCACCGTCTGGCACCGCGACTCGTCCAAGCAAAACTCCATCGACGCCATCATCAAGTGCATCCTCGAGGAGCTGCCGCCCGAGCTGCAGCCCAAGCAGGACAATTACTTTTACAAGAAGCACAGCGACCACGCCGGCTTCAAGGCGCCGCCCGAGCTGCAGGCCGTGCTCGACTCCCAGAAGCGCAATGCCGCCGCCGCCGCCGCTTCTGCTGCTTCTGCTGATGCGCCGGCAGTGACTGTTGAGCCGCCTGCTCAGTGATTTGTTTTTCTTCTTTACAATGTGCGTTCTCCTATTTTGTTGAGCGAGCTACGCCGGTTCTTCCTCGTTTACCTCTTTTCTGTTTGTCTTGGTTTCCTTCCCCCCCAAAGACACAGACAGGGCTCCTCCTTGAATTCCAGGCTCGTATATTGGCTATGATATGATTTCCGGCGTTTTGATGGGTTTTTATATACAAGGAAGAGTCGTGTCGGGGCCCTTCCAGCTTCTATTTAGCTCATGTCACGACTACAACCTCAGAAAGCGTTGTATGCTGTCATTCAAGCGGTCCAACATGTCTTCTGTTGAGCATATATCTCCATGTTTGAATATACAACACATATATACATCGTCCATGACTGCCTGCAGCATTCGTCAACCGCGTTCTTGTTTGCAGCCTTGGTTATGCGTTTTGCTGTCATCGATCCCCGACACAATGTAAACTCGAATCTCTGCTTCTCCCAATACCAGCAGGTAGCGATCCTCCAACAATGAAAATGATATCCATATGCGTACTTTGTATCAAAACGACTTGCAACTCCCAGCGCCTCGCATCAAGTGCCCCAAAAAATTCCCCATCCCGCTACCAGTAAAAGAAAAAGAAAAAAAAAACCATGTACAAATTCCCCCTTCCCTCCTTTAGCTGCCCACACACATCACCGCCAAACCCCAGCACTCCTCATCACCCCATCAAACTCCTCCATCCCCACCCCCCTCGCGACGCCCGCCCCGCCGTTGGCCTCGAGAATCATATCCTTGAGCAGCTCCTCGTCCACGTCCTCCTTGAGCACCGCCGCCACGCGCCGCAGGTGCGCCAGCGTGATCGGGCCCTCGGTGCCGTTCGTGAACAGGCCAAACGCCTCGGCCAGCTCCCGCCGGTGGGCCTCGGAGTCGCGGTCGTCGTCGTAGCCGTCGCGGTCGCGCGCGTGGAACTTGAGCGCGCAGATGGCGAAGAAGGGCTCAAAGGTCGCGAAGCCGTCCGCTTCCGGGTCGAGGATGGATATGAACTCCTGGAGCTCGGCGGGGGAAGAAGGCGGGATGCCGAGGGCTCTGTTTTGCATGATTAGTTTCTTCTCTTTTTCTCTATGTCTCTCTCTCCCTCCGAACCCCTCCCCCTTTCTTCTCTTCTTTTATAGAGTCTTCCCTGTATGATGGAAAGGGTGTGTAGCTTTTTCGTACATGAGCGCAGACTTGAGGTCGCCAATGGGCAGCACGCCGTTCTTCTCGCCGTCCATGGGCTCCGCGAACAGGCTAAAGGCCTCCTTGATCTCGGCCTCTTCCTGCGCGGAGACGTTGTGCTCCTTGGCGAGCTTGGATTGCCGGGGCTTGGAGGGCGCGGTCGGGGGGCCGCCTGATTTGCGCTTCGGAGGCTGTTTTTGTTTTCATGTGATCGCGTCAGCTTTTGCGCCTTTTTTTTTTCTTTCTTTCTTTCGTCGTTTTGATGCTGTGTTTTTCCCTTGGGGTGACAAGAAGTTTCGGTGTACTATAGGCAAAAGTTGCGTGAAACGTACCATGTGAGAACTCCGCAGGGTAAGCAAGCCAAAGCAAGCGTCGCAAATATCAAAGACTGTGAAAAGAGAAGAAAAGAGAAAAGATGTAATAAAAAGGGGAAAGAAAAGAAAAAAAGTTCCGTGTAAGCGATGTTTCTTTGCCTGGGCTGCTCTCGCGCGCGACAACTCTTGTGTAAGGTGTGAAAATGCACGTTGATGTCACTGGGCGGCGCGGAAACCTGGTGATTGCGACACAAGGCGCGCGCGCGAGGCTGATGGACCGGGTGCACCGCGGAAAAAAAAAGGACGTACAGTACAGAATACAGTACATTACGGTATATATACGGTACATGTCCACCCGTTCTTGTCCTAGCTGCGCATTTAAATTTGCAAAAATTCTTTCTGTGAAATCTTCGTCCTGTCTCTTTGCAACAACTTTGGAGAGGAGGTCTTCTTTCTTCGAGTCGAAGCTGCAAACACAGGCTTCTGATTGATGAAGCTGTGCTTTTAGCTGTGATATCTGGCTGCACAAGAGCTCCAGCATGCGCGAACCTCATTGACTATGAGAAATGCTGCAGCAGCAGATCTCTCACGGCATCGAGCTCAAAGAGAAGAGTTACCAGGATAGCCTTCTCAAGCGGCTTCCTCTTCATGACAAGGGACCAGCTACACCAGGTTTGTTTTACGCGCATGCTTTCTCTCGCGACCATCATCCAGTTGGAAAAAAAGAAAAAAAAATCTGCACCTCCCATCTTCCGTGCGACAACACACCAAACAAAACACACACACCAGCTTCTAAATTGCTAGAGCTTGCCGCCTCGGATTTTCCCCAACAGCGCGCAAGTGTGGACAGTGAAGCGAGAGCAAACCCAACGGGAAGGAAGCGGCGTCAATCTTCTTCTTAGACGCTTTGTTTCTTTTCTTCCAATGGCTAGCGAGCGGCATCACAGGCCTCTCAAGTGCCGTGGTGCCAAGTGAACCATGGAGACATACAACTTTCAAGAATTCCATTTCTTCTTTTCTTGTGAGATGAACTGTGAAAATACTGTAACAATTTTCGTAAAGGGTTTTGTACAAGATTGGTTTCTTTTGTGCCCAGCAACGTCAAAACTCAGATCTTTGCCTCCACGGGCCTGGTGACAAAGTAGTGTTAGTCACCAGCTTTCTGATCTCGTTGAGAATCTATCTGCTCTCCCTCACTTGAAGTTGTTCTTCATCTCCCGCAGCTTGGACATGACGGAAACAGGATCCGTCTCGCCCGTCGCCTTTTGAATCTCGGGGTCCTGGACCCTCATAAACACATTGTGCCTCTATATCGGATAGGACCCATGATTAGCCAACGCAGCCACATCTCCGCCGTTCCAACTCCACGGAAAGCTGGCTAACGTACCTTTTCATCACCAATGGTGAACTTGCCCGTCGTCACCTCGTTGTTGTCCGCGAACTCCCGAAGCCGCTTGATTGGGTCCGTCTGGGACACGGACAGGGTGAACTTGACGTTGGACTTGGTGTATTCGTGCCCGGGCTGGCATCATCATCATCATCAGTAACTGTCATCCACCGTGTCTCAGTTCTGCAGTGGTGCCAGGAACTTACATAGACAACTGTATCATCCGGCAACGCTCCGAGCCTGTTGTTCAACGCCTCATGCATCTCCGCCCCATTACCCTCAAAGAACTTGCCGCATCCTACATACATCCAGTCATCAGTCAGAATCAAAAGACAAGAAGTCTCTTTCAAGTCTCACAAGTCAAGCCATACATACCGCTGATGAAGAGAGTGTCGCCGGTAAAGACGGCCCTGCCAGTGGCATCCTCCATGTAGTAGCAGATGCTGTCCTGCGTGTGGCACGGCGTGTGCACGGCCGTGACCGAAATGTCGCCAATCTTGAACGTCTCCCCGTGCTTTGGCGTCCTGGTGACGCCTTCGCAGTCTTTGCCGCCGATGATGGCGAGGTCGGTGCCCAGCTCAGCCAGCTATAGAACGACATCTGTTAGAAATACCTCTTACGCACCATGTTGGATCGATAGGGCGTAATGTTATGTACCAGTTTCTTGTTGCCGCCGGCGTGGTCCCAATGGCTGTATCATCCCCCTTCCGTATCAGCTTATCCATTCCATCTCCATGTTGAACTCCGAGATAAGAGAGGTGTTGCATACTGGTGAGTGTTGACAATGGCCGTCAAGTTAATCTTGCCCGCCGAAGTAGCCTCCTTCAAAACAGGCGCAACCCTAATCCTCCAGTCAGCCAACTCCCATCCTCACCAAACTTCAAAGCAAATCACAGCCAAAGATAAGCTCATACTCTGGCGGGTTCGCCGGGTCGATGATGACGGCATCCTTGGACTTGTCGTCAACCACAAGATAGGCGTAGTTGTTGGAGCTCCCAACCCCTGCTCAGCATTTAGCCATCTCGACTCTCTCACCATCTCCCTCACTTTTCCCCATCACTTGGGAGTCTAAGACTCACACATGGGAATCGACTGGATATGCATCTTGCGTGCGTTGTTCGTCACGTTGTTTGTAAGCTGCGTCGGGTTTAATCAGCAATGAGGGGCACACCTCTCGATAACATTTGGAAGACGGTATCATCTCACTCACGGAACCGGCAAATCTCTGCGAGAGAAGCTGTCTGCCAGACAGTAGCAGTCTATTCATAGATGTACAAAGCTTGTAGCCTACGTTTGCCTGCAAAGAGACTGTCGCAATAATCAATGATGGGGTATAATTTGGGAGAGGTTGAACAGTCTGATGCTGGCCGGGTTTACCTCATTGTAAGCCGTAAATACGGAGAGGAGTCGTTGCTCGAAATCATTAATAACCGCCACGTGATTGGCTGCTCTGCGCTGCTCAGCTCCACGAACCGGAGAGGGTGACGAGACGCTGATGGCATGCATTTTCTGGTTACAGATCATAGTAGCAATGTGAAGCATGTTTTCCTCTTCATGGCAGCAGTGTTGAATAAGAAAAATAAAGGTCTATTGGGGGGGTATCATTGAGTTCCAAGGAGTCCAACACAGCACCGTTTCGCCGAAAATCACGACAAAGCCCACGATCCTCACACTACCCCGATAGGCTTCGGCTTCCAGGCGCCGCTATACCGGGACCATCCCGTGGTCCGCTCCGGGCTCTGGTCCGGATCCTGTTCCAGCTCTTGTTCCTGATCCTGTTCCTCCGGCACTTGCCTGCCCGCCGGCTCCGGACCACTCCCCTCGTTGGCCGTAGCCGCCATGTCTTTGGACAGCTTCAAGCACTTCAGATATACTTGGTTCCCCGGCAGCGTCTTCTGCAGCTCTGCAATGGTCGTCTGCACATGGCCCAGATCCCACTGGCGCAGCTGCCCCATGATTCCCTGTCTCGCCGCTTCGTCGTCCTCTCGTAGATAGGACAAGACCAGCTCCTTGCACGGATCCTTGGCCCTGTCCGCCTCCCCCAGGTGCTTCCAGTAGTAGTCCCAAATCCAGTCGAGCGCTTTCCTTGCGGCAGACCGCAGCTTGGCCAGCGAAGGCAGCTGCTCATGCGTCGCCTGGTGCCTAAGCTCGACAAAGGTGGCCGGCAAGCCAATGTTCTTGGCGATTGAGTACATGCTTTGCTTTCGCAGTTTGTCCTGATGCCCATCCAGCAGGCCGGTGACGAAGCTGACGGCATTTCAGTTAGCGTCCCTGGTCACCTAGGCGCGATGATGGTTTAGACGGAAACACGACACCCTCTCGGCGCTGCCTTGGATAGAGCCTCCAAACTTGCCATCCATGACGTCCCTTGGCCGCATATCCCGCGCATGCAAGACAGCCCCATCCTCGCTGCTTCATCTTGGCCACTTGGGCTCCCTTTATCCAACATTACCCCCCCTCCCCTTTTCCCCTAGGATTCCAGGCCTCCGAACCCAACCAAGCCACAGCGGAGGAGATGTAGTAGAAGAGTGACAACAGGGCCCAGACGACTTACCGACTAAACGCAGCTGCATATGCAGCCCTCACAGCATACGTCGATGCTCCTGCATTGCCCGTGGCCGCGGCCTCGTCGCTCAGGACCGCAGCCATGAGCAGGGCCGTCGACTCCACCATGTGCGGACAGTTGCCGCGCTGCATCCACATGGACACTCGCCCCACGGCCTTGTGCTTCTCTCCGTCTGCCTGCTCTCGTGATGCCTGGCGATTCGTACTTGCAGCCGCAGCCGCAGCAGTAGTGCGCCGTCGTGCATCCCCCTGATTCAAGCCCTGCTGCCCCTCATCTTCGCGGCCACGGGTTTCCTGCTGATTCTCGTCTGCATCCGCATCTCTGGCACCTTCGACTGTCCGACTCTCGTCCTGAATCCTCCTCCGCTGCTGCTGCTGCTGCTGTTGCTGGTGGTGGCTGTAAGCTGCACCGCCCTGGACACGACCCGATGCACCAGCCGCCTGCGTCAACGCCCCGGAACCGTAGAACTGCTCCCGCACAAGGAGCAGCTCCTGGCGGTCCCTCCAGGGCGTAAACACATACTGCACCATCAAGGGCGGCAGGGATGTGAAAAAGTATAGAGGGAGTAAAAAAAAAAAAGAGAGAGAGAGGAGGAGGATGATGGGTGTGACAATTGTTCACAATGGCAGAGAGAGACGCTGCTTGGTGGAAAGCGAAAATGCAAGAAGAAGCAAGGTGCAGTTGCCGCAAAAGCGGTGGACCGATGCGGCTTAGCGTCGTGGTGGGGTTGCGATTAGATAGGGAGATGCAGAGTTGCGAATTGCAATACGCTTTACTGAATGCGGCAGTAAACCGGGACGAAAAAAAGAGCGACAACTTGAGGATTTTCGACTGACGAAGAAAACATCAACGCCGCACTCCCGATGCAAGAGCCCAATTCAACTGCATCTCCTGTGTACGGAGTGATACAAAGGACATGTACAGTAGTACCCATTCTACGACCGTCACATCAGCAAGGACGAAGCGCCGCAACATGTGGTGCAACGCTGGCCGTGGCTCGTCCCCATTCCGCGCCCTACTGCATGCACGGCGAAGTTGGGTCGACAAAGCCGGACCATGCAGTGCCATCTCCATGCCGATGCTCGCTCATACGACTCAAACGCTCCCCCAAACGCTGTGTGGAGGGCCTTCAACTGATAACAAGATGAAGTTGACAGCATCCCATCAGGCAACTGCTAATTGGCGTATGTAGGGAGGATTTCAATAAGAAAAGAAAAAGAAGATACCAGGCCCAGCAGCACAACAGCGACCCTTCTCTCCTCTCGTTAGGTAGACCACTCAGCTGCTGATATGGCATTTGACCGTAACCTTACACGAAGGATTCCTTTTCAGCTGGCTCACCCACCCAGAGACAAACGCCAAAACGCAGCAGCCTACCAGGCATGGACATACTTCGTAGGCACCATGGCAAACCATTGCGGCCCATCGCCAGGTCGTACGTTGGAATCCGCCGTAGTACAAGCCATGGCTAGGCAAGGGAGGTTCAGGGAGGTCAGGTATCAGGCTACCTTTACCCTTCACCCCCCAAAGGGGTATACAGTCAATCACATCACTCGACCATCATCCATTGCTTTCACCCTCTTTGCCTCGGGCTACGACCAATTGCAGCACCAACAGCCCGTCTTGCATATCACATTTGACACAACCCCCCAATACCGAAGCCAGACACAAAATAAAAAACCAAGATAAGTCTTGATAAGGAGGGGAAAAACGGGCAAACGCAGCGCCAAAGTAGCGTCTCCGAGAGACACATGGAAAGCCCATCAGCAGAGCAACCAGTCACTTTTCTGCAAGCACAAGCACAAGCATGTACGATATGTAGAAGCATGTACTTGCTGCGGAGTCCATTGGTAAAATGTAATGCAGAGAGGGTCGTTTTTACATGAATTTTCTTGCTCTCAATTTTTCAGACATTTGGTTACTACTACGTGTAAGTACCCCAAGGCTAAGCGTCCAAATGCCCTTGCCTTTGCAGCGACTCTCCGTGTTGATGCAGGGTCATGCTGCAAGCGGCCAGGAGAAGGGCATCTGAGCAAACTGATATCTGCAAAGGACAAGTTGCAAAGGAACAAGTACGACTTTGTTGAGCCTGACAAAGTACACATAATCTAAAAAAATGGGTGAGCTGATGGAGACAAAGTAAGTAATAGGAGGTGATACGGAGCAAATACCGTTTCCAGACGACAGTACGAATCACACAGCTTGACTGGAGACAGACCCTGAAGAAACTCCGAAAAAATCACGGACCGCAAAAGACAACGTGCCAGTACATACGGAGCACTCTTCGCTTCTTTGCCATGTCATACAAAGTACCCAAATCCCAGAGCCTTCAACTCGAGTCCGGGGTCTCCATAAAGTACTGCGCCCCGTCTCATGCCTGGCATTCAGCTTCCCCCATCACCAGCCCGCTATGTAGATACTTACTCGTACAAGCCGTTGCACGCCGTGTCACTCGCCAAAATTCGTCCGCAAACTCGGCATCCTCGGAGCCTTGGGCCGAGTCCTTTTCTTCCTTGCGCACGTAAGTACATTGTCCTATCGAATGCAATGCTAATGCCTATTCTGGCACTCGTACGAGAGCAAGCGCCCTCCATGAGCTTGTATGGAACAGCATCCTTCAGGGCGACCTCAATCTCAAACCGCTTTCGGTCCGGCAGAACAAGCAGCCTGGTATAGCGAACCCCCACTCGAGACGGCAAACAAACGGGGGCCCTGCAAAGGAAACAACTCCATAGGTACGGAGTACCCTGTCGGAGAAGAAAGTGAGAGAGTACAAGTAAAGAGCCATGACAAACCCTGCCGGCCAGCGAATGGATGCCATCAGGGACGCCGACGGCAAGCAAACCAGCCGGGGCGTAATGACAAGGCCGCTTCGTACTTTGTTTCGTTACCTCGCCGTCAAATCGAGCTCAGGCCAGCCCCGGACTCAAGACGAATAATAACCGCATAAACGTCCAAGACGATTAGAAGAAAGATGTTGCCTCTGGTGCCTATAGGAAAAGAAAAGAAACCCTGCCACAGCCGAAATGCTTTACCGCCCAAGCCGCCCCCCCTCTCTCTCTCATCAATAATCCACTTCCCAACAAGCCCATAAAAACTTACACCCAGAGGCCGGGCTACCCTTTAGTTCCAACCGTAATGAAATCCTACCTCACACCTCGGCGAAACGGGGAGATCAGAGCCTGAGAATGTGCCCTGCACTTTTTCAGAGCGTTGGAAGGGACGTGGAGGCTGAATCTTATTAGCTCAAAGGACGAGTGCAACGCCCGTATCATTGGTTACCTTCCGAGAAGGATCGTCAAACGCTCATTGCAAGCACCATGAGCAAATACCTTAGGTACCTTATGTAGTTCCTAGAGGAAGCCCAAGGTTCAGCCATCTGTGGCTCAGCAAACTGACAATTACGCTTGCTGCCTTGCACCTGGTCTCAACAGAATAGGGAGCCAAAAGATATCAAATGAGCACCTGTCGCCAGAACATAGATACATACTGCGAGAAGGCGGCATCAAGCCATCATTGGCCGCATATCAGAATCCGAGACCGAGGGGCAAAGCATGGCACTGTATACACCTTACCACATCAGTCTCATTTACATCACCGTAACGTGCAAGAACACACAAATCACCTTGCCATCCACAAATCCAACTACTACCACTAACAAACAACAAGCACCAGCACGGAGCACGAGCCACTCAAGTCAAGGCTCTCCCAACCCGCGCCGAATGGGGTCCCAAAGCACAAAAGCGCCAAACGCAAAAAAAGGTGAGTAGGGGAAAAGGGAGGAGAGAATAAGAGGGAAGGGGTGTTCAAAACATTCAGGGCTCGGATGGAAGGGGGAGGCGTGCGGCCTCTTTAAGGGGGGGTGCACAGCAGAACTACCGCCAGAAGAGTAAAGGAAAAGAATGGGGAAAAAACGCAGCGCAAGCATCACCTCGAAGAGAACCGGCGCCAAGCAAGTGGGGTGTGGGGAGTATGTAAAAGTGGGGGAGAGGAGAGGAAAAAAAAAGAAAGAAGAGACAAAGACAACAAGCGGGTCCAGACACACCCAAGGTACGAAAAAAGAAGAGGGGCCCCATGCTCTTGGACGGACATGGGATGATGGGGCACTTTCATCAAGGGGGACCAGAAAAAAATAAGAGGGGAAGAGGTAAAAAGAAGGAAGAAAAAGTGGTACGTACTAGTATTGGCAGCTTCTGGACCAGTCGGCAGCCGTCTTCCCTGCCCACCAAAAACCCTTCCAGAATGCACTGCACGGAGACTGCAACTGCAACTGCAGAACCACCACCGGGGGCACACGGCCGACCCACCACCCACTTCGCACATGTCGGGCAGGGGTGCTTCCGTCCTAGCGGCTCTTTCCTGCGGTCTCTTCTTCCTAGGCTAGGGTACCTACCTTACTTTGTACTTTGCACTTTGCGCCGCGTACTTCGTACCTGCCGCGGCACTCCGTCCCAAGCACCATTTATCTGGGCACGTACTTTACTCCACCCTTACCAGTTGAGTCGTGCCTGCCTGCCCTGTCCCAAGTGATCAGTCCTCCTTTACATGTCATCTTATACGTCACACCCGCTAACTTCCAGGTTCCCAGCTCGCTGCAGCAATCTGGACCAGAACCTCCTGATTCAAACAAGTACCAGTCACGGTCACAGTCACCTAGCACAACACCACCAATCAAAGAAAGCACCCAAGCTGATGTATGCAACTCATGTCGCTTCTGGCATTATTATCAGTCGTCGATAGCATGTGCTGGCGTGAGCCATCTCAGAGCTTCCGACCCTGCTGTTCTACTATTGTCTATCTATTATACCCATCCCAGTGATACCGCCTTGATTTCCATTGCCCATGCGTACCAAAGCTTTGTCCGGGGGTATCTTTTCCCTTGATTCCAAGTATGACCGTTTATCTCTGTCAAAGAGAAAAAGAAAGCAGAGGCAAAATCCTCGTCTCCAAACCCTCGGGTGCCCGTAACTCCAAAACCAAGCCGTTACTCCATTATGCCCATTGTTCTTTTCCATAAAATCCGTCCAGTGTTTCGTAACAGTTCGTCATGTCGTGTCGTATCTCGGCGACTTCCTCATCTCGTCTTACTCATCGTCCTCGGCTTCGTCCTCTTCTTCTTCCTCCTCCGCCTCCTCTTCCTCGCCTTCCTCGTTCTCAGAAAGGTCAGGAGGTGTCCATCCCTCCGCCAGTTTCAAGCTCTGGCTAGTGCGCTCTCGAGGAAGCGCTGGCATTCCCAGAAATGAAAAGGATGAGTCCTCGGCATATTTCCCGGGAGTGTCGTAGAGACCCAGCCCGATCAAGACTTCCCCCTCTTCTTCTGGCTCGTCCACCACTTGGATGGCCGGCTCAGGAGCAGCTGGCTGTGACGGTTGCGTGGAGAAGCCAGAAGGTGTAGGCGGATCGCTTTCAATGGAAGCGCTGCGCTGGCTCATTGCCAAAGGCGACCAGTCCATCGATCCAGCTCTCATCATGGGCGACGGCGGAGAGAATTCTGGTGAAGGTGCGCCCTGGACCAACCACCAAGGGAGCTGCGGAGATCGGGGAGTGTAGCCGGCCAGATAGCTCTGCTGATTGCGTTGCTGCATTGCCAACGGTGACTGGTTCGTCGATACATTTCTCATAATGGGAGATGGTGGAGAGAATTCCGGTGATGATGCGGCCGGGACCGAATAATTAGGAAACTGTGGAGAGCGCGGAGTATAGGTAGGCTGGTAGCTCTGTTGATAGTCCTGCTGATAGCTCCCCTGCTGGCCATATTGCGTCGCCAAGGGTGGCCATTGAGGTACATACGCGAAATCCACCGGGGGTGTTGGCATATTCGTCGATGAATGCCAGCTGGCAGGTCGCTGTTGCTGGCTCGTTGGGAGACCGGGTTGGAACTGTTGACCCAGTTGCTGGGCTTGATCGTATTGCCCATACCGTTGAGCAGGGTTAGAGTGCTGGAGTGGCTGAGCCTGATAGACCTGCTGAGCGTAGTGGCTCTGGCTCATGCGTTGAGGTTGTGTAGTGTGATAGACTTCCTCAGTGTAGGTTGTCAGGTAGTTTTGCTGCTGGTTTTGCGAGAGTGGCAGGTGATATCCCATGAAGCGTGACTGATTCTGCGCCGCCATCTGGGGGGACATGTCGTGGTGACATGCAGCACGTCTCCGAATGCCAGGGTCGGTGCACTCGAATTCCATCCCAGCCGGGCCATTATAAAGATGATCGTGGTAGGCTGTCCGCCCAGCCGGCTCAGCTTGTGCGCGAGCTTCAGCGTGAATCTGCCTCAGCTGCTCCTCCCGAATTGCCTCCATCGTCTGGACTCGTCTGGCTCCGCTAGGATTGGAATATGTCGAACGGTTGATAGAGTGTTTTCGTTATGCTCGTGGATGCGTGCTGACGCTTGAGCGAATGTGTCTGGCGTCAGGATCGGAGATTGTTCGAAGTGAAGAGTGTATGAGGCGATGAGGTAGCTGAGTTTGATTGATTGACGAGACCAAGGGCCAAGCAAGCTTATATTGATTTGCGGGAGCTTTGGGGGAGGCCGAAAGTGAAACTATTAATATAAACTCAAAGAACCATAACTGGTAGCGGAGTACGCACTTCGCAGAAAGCTGGAAGTTAATATGCGAAGTTCCCAGGGGGAGGGGGGTGGACCGTTCGAGGGATCCTAGTGGCTTGAACGATCGGCCTGAACAGGGATGGTCTGAAGGATAAATCACGACTACTACCTTACCTAGAACCTTGGGGAATGGCAGTTGATGGATTTGGTACCCAAGTCGTACCTACAGCCATACCTCCGTACACCCCCATGCTCCTGGTCCTAGTCCAAAACAGATCCAACCGACCATGGATCTCGAGGTGGGCCAACGAGACAACAGCAGAACGTCTGGTGAAATTAGCGTGGTGCTCCTCCGGCCGTAGCAGTAGGCGACGTTTTCTTCTCGGTATGACGATGGCACAGGCAAACGTGCGGGTGGCATGGGAGCTTGAGCCAAAACCTTGCTAGCCGCTGCACAGGGAGGACAGCATGCTTCTCCTCGTTAGTAGTAAGGTATTGAGATCCAGGATTGTCTTTCCCTTGGTACATGCACTGACCCTCGACACCATCCAAGACATGGCCGGCCGGGATTGGAACAGAGCCTGCGAGCCGACGCATGCCCTGTTCGTTCCTTGGCCGGTACGTCATACGGGGCGAGGCAAGGGATGGTGCAAGGGTGTCTCATCGGACGGACTCGAGCTCCAACCGGGAAAGTATTACTGGTAGAAGAGAGACAGTGAAAGAGAGGAACCCTAGTCGCCATGGATAGTCGTCGCTCTACAGTAGAGCGGCGGCCGTAGCGGAGACAAAAGTGCGAGAGCACTCAGAGGAGGGATTAATAGAGCGGCCGCTGTAAGCTCGGAAACTTGATCCTCTGATGCGGTTGATAGTAGTACTCGTACATCTAATAATGATTGCTGCAGGTATGCACGCTCGGAGAACCTTGCAGAAACAAGCTGTCTGATGGCATCCCGATGATCACTCACTTGTACTACCACGTCGAGTACTGTGTCCACAAGAGTCCAGATACATCGGGTCTCTTGCGGCGGTACTATGCGCTTACATACCGGCGAATCGTGGTTGGATTTGCAACAAGTCCAACTGGATCATGTCTTGATGCAATACCGGCGTGAGAGGTCGCCTGCGAGGGACGACACCTCAGTGCTCGCTCATACCTCGAGCGCTCAGGAGTGCGAGTGATCATGGGGCGCCAGCCGGAATCTAAGAGGCAGGGCTGATATTATCCAAAGTTAGCAGGCGCCAACAAGATCAGACCTGAAGCAGGGATAATCCAGCGCTTGGGTCGAAACAACAGGAAGCACTGTACGAAGTACGTACTCGTAGGCATCTGAGCTCCGTGTCCGCTCTGTCCGTGCTGAATGCCACAAGCCGCAGAGGGCTCACGAGGAGCGCCAGTGCCGTATCCTTGCAGCCCCACGCTGAAGCGGACAAGTTCAAGGTTGCGGTCGAGAATGGGAAAAGAGGCTTGAGAGACCAAAAGAAAAAAAAAATAAGAAGGGGGAAAAGAGGCTAGGCCCCCGGCAGGACGGGCAAGACCCATCTTTTGGTCGCTTCGTGGAAGGGATGGCGAAGGATCTGAATCCGGCCCAGGGGGTTCAAGTATGAACAACCCGTCAGATGGGCCAACCAGCGTCGGCAAGAGGGAAACCGGAGTGTCCGTCGTAGCTCAGGTCGAGCAAAAGACCAGTCAGCAGGGCGTGCCCACGGGAGGCACACCCCTTGTCCCCAGCTCTCGGGCCCCTTCAAAAGCTGTCCCTTGGTCTTGGTATGCCTTCCGGATCCACTAGCGACGTGGCGTGGTGGTGTTCCAAAATAGTGTTGCTGAGTCTTGCAGAAGAGGACCACCCACAAATCTCACCCACACAGACGGAGTCGAAGATGCACATCACAGTCCAGACAGAGTGATTGACATCCCCACATAGCCGGAAACCTTCCCTGGGCTGATACGGACACCCCATGGACTTGCAGCTTTTGGCGCCAAAGTCGCAGATTGGAGCACGGCCGAGAGGCAGAATGGCGTCGGTCTATCCAGAGGCACGAACGAGTGGGCTGCGAAGAGGGACAGATCTCATCGCTGGTTCATCGGTCGTTAGCGACTGGCCAGTATTTGTGCCGACCTAATCATATCAGCGGTCCCTTCCGTCCAGCCGCTTACCACCTCTGTGCTCGTGCTCCATCTCTGCCTCATCATGTAGGTACTTACCGTACACACCTCGTACCTCGTACTGCTTGTTGAACCAGGGGATGACGCCAGCCCACCACCTGTTGTACTAGGTAGTAGCTGGTCTGAACCTCTTCCAATGTCTTGTCGTGCCTGCTGCCGCTGCTGCTGCTGCCGATGCCGTTGTTGGTGGTTCAAAGACGATGCCGATGCTGTTGTAGCTGCTGTCTGCAAGCCGTAGCCTAGGTACACGACCAGGTATCTCTGGACAAGGACCTACCAGGTACGCTGAATTCGTCACTCCCAACTTCCAGACACTCTGCACTTGTCCAGGTTAGAGGCTGACGACGGCTTGCCTGTTGAAAAGCGATCCTTTTGCTTTGCAACACAATCCCTCGTGAGCAGCAGCGACCGGATCAGGGAGATGAGCAACGTCCCGCGGCGTACCGCAAAGGGCGAAGGGCAAAGGGCAAAGGTTAATGAATGCATTTCATCGCCTCGTGCTCCGCAATCCAACGTTAAAGGTACCTGGACAGCGCCTCCCTCGCCAACTTGAATTCATCAGTCATTCTCGACCAGGTGTCTAGGCACTTGTAGGCCGGGGACAAATGTGGAAAGAGCAAGGCGGCCTGGAGCCCCGCTCATTCGCGTTCGCGTATCAAACGGCTGCCGTGCGCAAAACTCGGAATTGGGGCAGTCGCACAAGAGACAGGAGGGTCAGGTACGGACGTAAAGTACTTGCAAGTACGGAGTATTTCAGGCTGTAAGCTGCCAGGTGCGGCTGCGTGGAGCTGCAATTTGGTTCAAGCACCAACAGAGCGCAGCACCGTCGCCACCGTGCATGGGCAAGCAAGAGGGGCAGAGTTATCCTACCTACCTAAGGTACTGCACTGTACCTGCCCTAGTTAGGAGACGGAGAGCTCCGTAAGGTACGGCGCTCGTACCGCCCTGTATTGTCCAGGTCCCTTGAAGCGCGCGAGTAGGGCCGTTTTAGCACCAGTAAGACATTGCTGCTACCACCAAGAGAGTCGCAGAGCACCCGGCGGAAGGTGCAGATTGGAATAGCTCGTCCGGTGCTGTGGCCGCCAACGGGCAAGAGCGAACAGCAGGCCGGGATGTCAACCGAAGTGATCCCATCACCAGCACAGCAGCCGTCACCCACGCGCAGTTTCCTTCTGCTACAGGACAAACGATGCGGTCGCATGTGAGTCCAACCCGATGCGCCCGTCTGGGTACATGTGCCGCGCACTCGTAGACCAGCCAGCGGTGCTTGTCCAGAAATGGAGGCGGGACTGATATTCATGCACCAACTCCCGAGTCGCCAGCGTGAGAAAGCCATGGTGGAGCGAGTGGCGGCCTTTGTGCGTCGACGCGATGGGCCGGCTGCGATGGGCGACTGCGAGATTGAGGCCTCGCCGAGAGACAAAGCGCCCCCTTGTTGGAGTCACCTGAAGGTGGTTCGAATCTAGTCCGCCTGCCGCTCTGGTGAGTACTTGCGGCTGCGGAGCACTTTACAGTGGGTGTGCCAGGCACTGTGGCGCCTACAAATTGCTGGCCCGCGACTTTTGCGAGAAATGGACGGATGGGTCAATGGTTTCGTCTTGCCGCCAGAGCCAGAGCTGCAAATGCACTGTGCGCAAGTTTGCTCAGAGTCGCAGCGCTTGCAGGAGCGCGAACACTCCAGCTGAATACATACGTCACCTATGAAATCCGAGGTCGCAAAACTCAAGTCAGTGCTAGCTGCGGTAGCGTTTTGCAGCAAAGCCCGCTCTCGTAGTGCAGAAGCCGCCGTTGTATGGATGCCACATTTCCCCGTAGCAATAAGCTGAGTGATGGTGAAACTCGACTGGTCAAGTTGGCGAAAGCGAAGCACAGGCGGTGAAAGCGAGTTGCAAATGCGAGGCAGACGCAGCCACATGTACGAAGAATGGGTGCCTGTTGAGCAGGCTGTGCTCATGCAGGCCAGAAAAGGGAGGCCGTCACAGCATTCCTCCATGCTTGGGTCAGTACGAGCACGGAATACTGTATATCTGGATGTCGTACGGGGCAGCGATTTCCAGTCCGTCTTTGATTTCTTAACACCGGCTGGGGACGCATCCTCTCGGCATGCCTTAGCAGTACCTAGTACTTGTGCGGACTTCTCATTACTGGGTCTTGAAGAGGGACCTACGAGTACTCGTACGTACGACTACGCACTCGCACTTGAAAAGCTCGTTGCCGGTGGACATGGTTGCCGCGCGTTGCCTCATATTCATTGCGCCTCCTTTATGCCTCTTCGCGCTATTACGAAGGTATTCCAGTGGCTCCAGGCTAGCACAGAAAATCGAAGCGATCCACGGGTCTCTTGCGAGATTCTGCTCCACTGTCAATGGCGCCCAAACTCGCACTTCTGGTGATGCAACTTGGAACCCTATCCTGGGCCGCTTGCATGGCTGACAGCGGCGCCGCGGTCTCCGCACTGTGCTGGATGCTGTCGCTAGCGAGTGCTTCCACCCTGCTAGTACTCCGTACCTGTAGTGGTAATACTTCGCACACACAACAAACTCGACTTCTGCTCCATCCAATCCTCCGCTACGCCAGCGTCAGCTCCAGGTGCCGCGAAAGCCTTGGTCGCCCTCAGCCGTCACTCGTTAGTACATAGCCGTCCTAGACTCGCTTGCGACGCCCTGCAGCGCGTCCTGGTCCGTCGCAGTGCGGGACCCCTCGGCACAGGTCCATGTTTCCTCAAGGTCCAGGCGCATTGGCTCGACACGACACCGCACTCCGACGCAGCCCTTCCGGCCATGAATGGGACCTGGAAGACGCCCTTTGACAATCACGAGTAGTACCTAAGTACTGCACACGATGTGTATGCAGGCAGCTACGGATATGGGGGGCTGGAGCGAATAGCTTGTTACAGGGATGGTGCAAAAGAACACGGAGCTTGTAAGTACTATTGCTACACTACTACTCTGTTCTCAGAGTGCAGCTCCCTAGATACTGACTGGTGTTACGTCTCAGCAGCTAACTGCTATACAACCGGGCTGCCGCTGGCTTGGTACCCTTGCTGCCCATGAGCGAATTGCAGCCGTCAACATTTGGCGTCGGCAGACTCAACTCGCAACTGCAGGACTTGAGTCATATCATCATTCTGCTCGACGTGACTACGTACTTCGTGTCTACTAGCTGAGAGTAGCAACAATCCAGGCTTACCGACGGGTTTGGAACTAAGGAACGCCGTTCGGCGAGCATCGCAGCCCGGCCAGGGCTGCACGAGTACAACTATTTGCCTCGCTCCTCAAGGTTCACCTCCTCCATCTGAACGGCCAGCGACCGAGGCTGCAGCTAAATCCAGCTTTCCATGGGGCTCTCGTGTGTCCCGGTCCTATTCGAAGGCGGGCTTTGCTTGTCATGTGATCGCTTGACACGCAGGCAGGGGAGTTGCCGAGCCAGATGAGCTGTACTCCGTGCTGCGTATATCTATCCTCCTTCGTCAATCTTCGGGGGCCCGGCTTCGAGGCCAGGATGGTGGTGCCAAGGACGGAGCGCTGCCAGCATCGGTGGCCTGCATGCCTTTGTCTGGCCTGGAGCCCTGGAACCGAAACCCCCGCCGCGACTGTCCCACCCAAGCTTCCGGTGACTTGCAAAAACTCGGACGGCTCTTGACCCACTGTCGCCGTGACCTGGCGGGCCGTGTCCTTGTCGCACATGTGGGGTTGCAGCGAATGGCGACGGCGCCATGGCACTGAGAACAAGCCCCCTTTTCTTGCGGACCACTCTCGAGCCTTTTCAACAGGCCGCAGGCGCCTCTGCAGCTCCCCTCAAAAGTACGATGATCGGCGTCACTCGCCCACCTGCGGTCAGGTCTAGACTTAGGAGACAGCCCAGCAGACATGTTGGTTGGCGTACTTGGCATATTACCTTCTCAGCAGTGCTCTTGGTGGCGCATCAAGAGGTTTTACTCCTTGGTTGTTTTGTCTCGCAACACAATGCGCTGGCACTGTATAAGCTTTCTTCCATCGACACACAGTACTGAGCATGGCGTCCTCCCACACGTTGCTGCATCAGACATGCTAGTGTCGAGTAATACTGGACACAGGAAGCAGACACAGCTGCCGCACGCCCTTTCGACCAGGGTTCGTCGGTCTTGGTGATCGTGGTGCTTGGGCTAATATTAATCAACCGGCTCCCTCAAGCACCTAGCAGCGCTGGCAAGTGCTTAGCATGGTTCGTGTGTACGAGTACTACTACTGCTATCGTTGCAGGCCTCTCTTCCACCCTTCGCAGCTCAATGCGGGCGCCGGGCGCCAACGTCCCACGCAGTCGTGTTTCAACTAGGACGGCTTTATTGCCCAGAGTTCCACATTCTTGCCAGCCTGCACTCGACCTATCTGGGCTATCCGAACCAAGACCTGTCTGACTACGACAGTACATAGACAGAAGTAGACACTCGTCCCGAGGGCTTTTGTCTAATTGGACAGTACGAGTGCACACGTTCAATACTCCCCCATCGGCCGCGGTTTTCTCTCAACCCCTTGCCATGGTACGATACGTTGAGTTGCCGCATGTCGACCTCTGCAGACGGTCTCAAAGTCCGTGTTTGCACCTTTGGCAATTGGCCATGCAGCCTCATTCACTGACTAGGGACAGAGGAGACTCGCGTTGTTTCTCCCTTCCTACCCATACCCTACAGCCTCCACATGTGTGAGCTGGTTTCCGCATGCATGTGAACCCTGCAAACGACAAGATGAAGTCCATTGGAAGAGCGAGGAGACGGGGAACTAGGTAAAGGCAAGTACAATACGAGTATTGCCGAGAGCTGCCCCAGCAGGTACAGACAGCAGCCCTTGAGGGGGATTTCTAGTGCCCGAACAAGCAGGTCATCTCCGTCCGCCAGACGCACACGAAAAGAAAACACATCACGAGATTCACTCACTAATTGCGTACTGTATTCTCGTTAGTATGGCTCTCGGCGCTGGCGGCAATTTACATGGCTGCTGTGATGTAGCCAGTGGTTAGATCACAGCTATCAAAGGCAAGACGCCACTCAAGAGCATAGATATACAAGTACGGAGGTAGGCAGGCCGACTACATTCTCTGCGCGCAGTCGAGGCTCGAGCCGGCTTGTTCGCAGGCGCCTGGCCCACACCTTACCTACCTTATGCATACAGGACGCCCTACCAAAGCCAGTACTTGACGGCCGACGGAAGACTCGACCGATTGGTGTGTCTTAGCATTGCAGCCAGCCGGGGAACAGAAATCATATGCTTTATTACTTCTTCCTCCTATAGCCACGAAGTGTGTACTACCGTTGCATGGTACGGCTAGCATGCGGCTGTGCTAATCTGGGTCAAGGAAAGACATATACCAGAATTCAGTTACTATCTAGGATAGTACCATCGCAGAACTCCGTTCTTCGCAGCTTGATGCCACGGCTTGTCTTGTCTCACAGGCATACACACAGCCAGGATCCCGGCCGAAATATCAACGCCACCCGCTTCTCATAACTCGGCTCTACTTCAGGGCAGGGTCTGGCTTCGCCCGACCTGCGGCGCCTGCTGGCGGGGATCCAAGAGTCCTCTTCTCGTGACGATATCCATCAAATTTGATAGGGGGCTCTTTCCACTGGCCCCGAGATGTGGGAATGAGTCAACGAGACAATACAACGTCTGCTGCGGATTCTACCGTTTGGTGTGGCATTTGATGCCGCCACGGGCTGTTCTTTGTGGAGTATTACTTACGTGTGTACTCGTACATTCGGAGTACTACTGCATCACTGGACATCTAAACGCCAGCCTTGAGGATTCCCAATTAGCGGAGCTGGTGACGCAGGGATATTTGGGTCAAAAAGCTCCGGGCCCAAGAGACCCAGAAAAGTTGATGGGCAATGCTCCCGCCGTGCTTGTCGACTTGTCGAAGGGTCGCATTCTGCTAGTGTATGAGCTGACCGCCCAACAGCCAAACCAACGAATGTGCCAAAGAGAAACTGGGACCGTGTCGTGCACAGTATAGAGTGCTAGGGAACAAGCAGCGTTACTCCAAGAGCCCTTCCTCTCATGCAAGGTAGAATGCGTGGGACGCCTGGACGGAGCCTCTGTGTCACTCAGCTACTACTAGTACCGCCTTGGCACCGGATGCCTTCCGACATCCCACTTCTTCTCCTCAGCCTCGGACGGCTGACGGTGATCAACGTACGTATAGCATGTATGGGATGCATTGGCATTGTCTATTGCATCACTGGGCTGATCTGATTTTCGGACCTTTGTCGAGTAGGTCTAAAGGGAGCTCCAGGCTTGTTTGCTCTTATACGTGTTGGCTGATACGTTGCCGACCACTTCCCCATCGTGAAGTCAAGCCGCGTTCAGCGATTCACGGCTGAGACAATCACGAAGGGAAGTTCTACAAGGGGGGTGGGAGGGGTCAATCCAATCTGCCTACCAGTCTTACTCAGTAGTAGGGAGCACCGGCCGACATTGCTTACTGGAACGTGTCTGGGCCGAAAGCCATCATCGACGACAGCAACGGGCAAGTGTGCGATATCGTACGAGGACTCCTTGCCCGCCACATCACGTACCTTATGTATGTGCCTATTCGTACGCCATTGGAATGCTGGATCAAGATTCGACCGCCTAGGAATTCGACAGTGGTGAACCTCGGACAGACGCTCGTCCACCCACTTCACAGTGCACAGTATACTTTGGTCCCGATTGTCCGTTTCACTCACGCCCGCAGCAGGCCACAGGTTCAACCCCAGCTACGGAATACTTCCTGGGGACATGGCAGTTTGAATCTCGTTGTACGCACTCATTAGCCTGCACGCAGCAGCCCCGTGCGGCGTGGCAGCACAGGAAAAGCCGAAACTTGACGTTCGACGTGGGCTAACACTGGCCTTTGCTCTTGTTTGATAACATCCAACTGACAGGGGTGCCAGTCTATGTAATGTACGTATGTCAGTACTCGTGCGTTCTTTGTCCTTCTGTGGGAATGATCTGGGTTGACCTATTGTAATACTAGTGCTAACCTCCTCGCTTCCCCCCAGCGGGCGTGTCTCTAGAACTCTTAGCTACGGGCTGGTGTTCCCGATATAGCTTCCCGATCCCCTCTGTCTCATCCGCCACCCCTTTCAGAACCTCCCGCGTCTAAACCAACTTGCAAGTGAGAGTACTACTTGACGAATGTACCAACACGAGGAAAGTCTCGACATTGGTCTCAAGCGCCAGTTTGATGACGGACATCTAGTACTGAATGCCTTACTCCGTTGTCTAGTGCATCTTACAGGCGGAGGGCAACCAGTCATGGTCATCACCTTTCGCGCGCCCAAGGGTCGGGAATCCTCAGCCTAATCAACCGCCACCATCTGATACGACTGACAGTGCCTGCGAACTTGGAGTCGCAGCAACCAGCCCGCGTACCACCACTACCTACAAGTACGCGCGCAGAACCTATAGTATGTTAACACCACTTTACCAGCTCCATTGGTGGCGTCGTCTTTCGATTCATTTCCCTGCCCTCTGCAGCGCGAGGCTGCGAACAGACCTGGGAGTTATTCCTCTCACCAGATTTCACAGGGCCGCTCGATGCCCCTAGGCCAAGCACGCACACATGAGGCACTGTGGTCCTTTCAACCCCCTTCTCCTCATCAGAGACGCATGGCGGTGGAGAGGAGGGGAAGAGGACGAAAACCATCAATAGGTTGAGTGACCGGCAGCTTGTTTGCGTGCATGCAACCTAGGATGATATGCACGGACTAGCGATTCGGAGACATGGGGGCTTTTGCTTTGCCTCGTGAGAGCAATTTGAGCGCAGGCTGCTCGATGCCAGGCCCACCGCGGGCGGAGGAGTCGAGACGCACAAGACAAGCAGCTGTGATCGCCTGCCCACAATTCATCACTGGCCTTTCCAAGGATCACGGACCATTGACCAAGGACCCATCACTGTGGCTTTGTCACTCCTCGCCTCCCCCTTTGACTCTGGATTGCCTGGGCGTGGGACATTGCGTTGAAAGCGCTGTGAAGCCGTGCGAGCCAATGGCGTAGTATTACATGGTGGTTCTGCTTCATCTGACGCCGTTTACGCTGTTCACCTCACAGGCTCTTCCTCAACGAACCACCGGCCTGTTTCACCGCTTCTTACCCCCTTCCTGCGAGCGTCAGGACGGACGAGATACTAAGACTAGTCCTTCGGCTTAGAGGGGGATTGCCAGCTGGAGACCACGCACAGCTTGCTGGTTGTCTGACAGGCCACACCATGTTTGATTATTGCCAAGTACAGCGTGCCTTCAAGAGAGGTACCATTTTGAGCTTTGCGCTTCACATACAGACGGACATGCAAGTACTAAATACCACTCGCAGCACCAAGCGCTCATGTTCGTCGTGGTGTCTTTTTTATTGCTACTTTTAGTGTTCATAACGGAGCACTCCGTACGAAGCACATTCTAACAACCCCCCTGTGCGTACCTGTTTAGCTCTCCCTTTGCTCTCGCCTCCGCCCAGGAATGGCTGCCAGCAGTGGCGCGACGCTACCTCAGGGCTGCCCAATCTCAAGTACATACCTACACAGAGCGAGCATCTCGGCCTCCATCCCTCCTGGTCAGTTAATGGGACGGACAGGCGTCGGCTGCTCGAACCCGCCAAACTTGTTTGTCCTTGACGAATAATCGGAGCGAGGGGTTTTGAGTCGGCTGCTACATGTACATACATGGTGCCAGGAAAATCGATGGATCGATCAGGATGGGCATCGCTCCAACTTCACTCACTCCATACTAGCCAGTCGCGGACATGTGCGCCGAGCCCCTGAAACCCCTCCCTCTGGACCTTTGTCGTGGCCAGGTGTACAGCGAATCTCAGCCCGTGGCTTACATCCCAATCTCTACTGCGGCACACCAGGCTGTAGAGCATTCCCGCGACAAAGGTGTCACCCGCTCCCACCGAGCTAATGGCAAAGGGACATGTCAGCTGCAGTGCCTCCAAAAAAGCTCCGTGCTACTTGTTACAAGGTACGTGTACTCGCAAGAAACCGGCCAAGGCTTCGAGACGCGATGCTGTAGTGCCATATTGGGAGAGGGGGGAGGAATTGATGACGGGGGCCAACTTTCGGAGAAGAAGAGAGAGGTAGGAAATTCGCCTTGTTTGGTGTAACCTACTCGACAACGGAAATGGACTTTGCGCGGCTTTCCACGGGACAGCGGATGACCTGCTCGGAGGGCTGGCGCAAGGCGGCTGCTCCCTCCGCACCCCAGGTGCATAGAGCAAGGGACTTGCTGCTACGAGTGTGAGTATGAGTGCTTCGTGCTTTATATGGGGTTGACCATGTTCAAATCAAGGGCCGGGAATCATTGGACACGACGACGGCATCGCAAGCAGGGCGTTCAAGAGGGAAGAAGGAAGGGGCACGCTTACGCTTTACGTCGTCGTTGCTCGTCGATGAGACACGATTCGGCAGACCCGTGGCCACAGCTCTAGAACGCACGCATTAATCTCTCAGCCTGTTGTGAGCCATGTTGGACTCCTGTCCTCGTGGACGAGCGTGGAGGAGTTTCAGTGCTCTGGCTTCTTCTTTGCCTGTCCTTTCCCTTTCCTCACATGGCTATGCTTTTTTCCGAGCCCTCTCCATGTTGATGGGGGTCCAATCATGTCGAAAGTCACTGCATTGCTCGCTCTTGCCATGTCGCAAGTGTCACATACCTCTGCCCATGATTTGGAGTAGAAGACCACGTCAGCCTCGGCTGCGAGCTCACGGAGGCCGTCCCTGCCTGGTTTCTCGACCTCGACGCTGATTTGCGCGTTTGGCAGCTTGTCACGCAGCGTGCGGACGCACTCTAACGTGGTATCGGGGATGCGGCCCTGAGCTAGAGTTGTGAGACTGGCATTGTCGATGAGGGAGGGTGTCGAAGGGTGATCAGATGCCGTGGCGTCCCTTTGCTTGACACAGAGTTTATCATTATGGCCGCAGCCGCCACGACACATCCACGGGCGCAACGAGTCCAGCCAGAAGAGAGGCACAGCAGCAAGGATACCTTCTATCTGTCCTCCCTTCTGCCTCTCATTGCGGGCCCTGTTTTAAAGGCTCGGCTTTGGATGGGGCTGGACTCACTTCAAAGTGCCACCAGGTGTCTTCGCTGGCACTGAACCTCCGCACGACGGCCTCAAACTCGCCAACTGTCATTTCCGGTAGGTCGTTGTAGTTGACAATGGTACGGCTTCCCGTCTGCTCGCTACGGATGATGTAACTGCTTGCGGGCTGCGTGTGCGCCTCTCGGTAGAGGCAGAGCTCGAGGTTGACTGGCGACGTCGGCGAGGACAAGGACTCACCAACAGGGACAAAGGAATCCCGGATGCGCTGCGTAGCCGGCGATGATTCGCTCGGAAGGGGTGACACGAGGTACGTGCGGACGGCATCTCGCGGCCCAAGGAGCTGCTGCAGGACCTCGAGTGAGTTGGGGCAGTTGCCGCCGCGACGGATCTCGAGGCGGGAGGCTCGCTGCTTTGCGTCTTCGCCTGGGAACTGCGGGACGCTGTTTTGAAGAAGAGGCATGTTAGAGTGTGATGTGCGACGAGGACGAGTATCTCGGGGCTCGTGTGAGATGATGATGACGGGAGTGACGGGAGTTTGAGTCTTCCCTTAGGATGGTGTCGAGGTAACAGGCTCCGACCATGACGAGGTGCTTCATTGTTCGGGCCGTGTTCGTCTGTTCCCTCTCCTTTGCCTTTGTGCTTGTTGCCTTTGGCTTATCGTCTCGTCTGAAGAGATGGCGAGCTTCAAGTGTTTTGTTTGGGAGTCGACCTGAGTGTACAAGCTAGGCATGACGATGTTGATGATGATGAGGCTCCCCGCCCTACCCCACTTGTTCTATCAGCGAGTCGATAACAGTACCTGGTTTGACCTTGACTCTCAGCCGTTCCTATCTGAAGCGGCTGGACTACTACTTGTACCAAGTCAGGCCTGAATGCCTTGGCCATGGGCCATGTGTAGGGTGCTTTGTCTGATGGAGCAGCAACTTCCAAGGGTCCATGGGACACTTTCATACCTTATCCGGGTCTGTTGATTGACCACCTAAGGTACTCCGGTCATATAACAACAGAAGGGCAAAGATGACGTATGTGAGTCACGAACATGATGAACTCACCAGGTGCGCAACTGACTTGAAATCAGTATTGTCAAAATTGAGACTAAGATGGAGTAATACACACTGGTCGAGATGATTTGCTCATTGAGGACTGCTTCTCGAACTTGGTTCGCGATGGTGTCCCCGGGAGTGTATCTCTATGTACTGCTCTGTACGCCAACCCTGCCTCGACTACCTAGTAGGTACTTACCCGGTGATGATTGGATTGAGACATTGAGCAGTGCCCTTGTTGTAACTCTTGTGGCAATCAATGGCAATTACTTCATTGGCTAAATCAGATAATACTAGTCTGCTATTGAAGAACAAACCCAAGAGTAGAAACAAAACTGAAATGAGGTCGACGCAAACAAGAGTATGAATTAGTACAGCAGGTAGTAGTTATCAACACACTGTCGAGGCTGTCAAATGGCTTCCGAGATGAGAGGCAACGTCGTGTTAGCTAGTTACAAACATCAACCCCTCTTCGACATCATTACTTACAAGACCCAAACTTGTCTCATCCTACAACTTGTTTCCCTGACGCATTGCGTTCCGCCTTGGATGATCAGCATCACTCAATTACATAGTACGCATCATGGTGATTCTGCGCAAGAACCAGCGAATCTGACTGGCCGCCTCACTCGGCAACTCTGTTCCCCACATTGTCTCAATCCAAGCGTGATTGGGCAACTTGAGAGCTGCGGAAGCGCAACACACAAGAGTTGGCTTCCCATCAGATCTTCTCAGCTTACTGACGGCCTCTTCCGGTGCATCTTCTTCCCTTCAACCGCCAAAACTCGGACGGATCAACTCGCACCGAATTTCCATCATCGCCGTCGTTCTGATTTGACAGCCAGAAAGACGCTCACATTGCTCGATTGCTGTCCCTGTTACACGGCATCCCTGGTGCATGGACTGCGGAGCGGCGACCCCGCGATAGACTCAGCTATTACATCATGGGCTGGGACGGCGATGAAGACGGCGAGACGAAGCGCCAGAAGCACATTTCGTTTGAGGACGGCAGTCTGGACGGCAGCGATGAGGACGAGGGAGCCGTCGAGGTGAGTGTCACTTGGCTTGTCATCATCATCACGGCTAGAACCGTGCTGCAGCTTGGTACTGACAAAGTCTCCACGATCAGGTCACCTTCGACAATGGAAACCCGTACAGGAGAAAGAGCTCGCTCGTCACGTCCGAGGCACCTGCGCCCAGGACGAAGCGCATCCCGCCCGGCCAGCGCGCCGAATGCGTTGTCCATCAGTTGATCGAGGACCAGCGACGCTCGCGACACTCTTCCGCCGCGAGCTCGCCCAACCGCAACCAGTACCGCGCGCATCCGATATACACGCATCCGAACCACCACGACGGCGCCGTGGACATTAGCAAGGAGCGGAGGATGGACCGGATCATCGATCTCAAGAGCCCCGGCGACCAGCAAAAGTGCCGTGCGGTGGTCGACACCGACTGTCTCGACGAGGATGCCGGCCTTGGACAGGTGGACCAGAAGGTATGGACCAAGGAGATGACCAAGACGGACTCCGAGACGGACCTCACCCACCACCACTCGTACGAGAACATACACAGCCGCATGTTGACCAAGAAGCAGCTGAGCGACATGGCGTGGGGGGTCCGAGAGCTGAGCAGGCGGCTGAGCAGCATGCGCATCCGCTTTCGGGTGAGGACCATCTTTCTACTGACAAAGATCCACGACTCGGATCTGATCTGCAACACGCGGGCGCTGGCCCAGTGGCTGCTCAGCAAGGAGAGGGACGTCAAGTACGTTGTGTACGTGGAGAAGATTCTCAAGACCAACAAGAAGTTTGACGTGGCAAGGATGATGGACGATCTGGTTCGCGAATACGCCCAAGAAGGCGGCGTGGACGAGGACAGCGCCCGGGATGACATTCAGAAACGCCTCCGGTACTGGGATGAATCCATGTGCAGGGCGCGGCCGCACCAGTTTGACTTTGTCATCACCCTCGGAGGAGACGGCACCGTCCTGTACGCGAGCTGGCTGTTCCAGAGGATCGTGCCGCCGGTCCTGAGCTTTGCGCTGGGCAGTCTCGGCTTCTTGACCAAGTTTGACTTTGAGGACTACAAGCCGATTCTCAGCTCTGCCTTCTCCAAGGGCGTGACGGTCAGCTTGAGGCTTCGCTTCGAGTGCACGGTGATGAGGAGCGTGCGAAGGAAGACGCCCGAGCCCGAGTCTGAGGAGGACGGCGACGAGTCGCACTATAGGCGGGATCTGGTGGAGGAGCTGATTGGCGAGGAGAACGAGGATGAGCGGACGCACAAGCCGGAGGGGACGTATGAGATATTGAATGAGCTCGTGGTTGACCGAGGACCAAACCCAAGTGAGTTTCCCCAGTCCCCGTCTTGTTTTGCCAAAAGCTGGATCTCCTCCAACACTCATCTCCTCTCCTTCACAGCAATGTCGTATACGGAAATCTTTGGAGACGATGAGCATTTTACCTCGGTGCTCGCGGACGGCATCTGCGTGTCTACGCCAACGGGCTCGACGGCATACAACCTCGCCGCCGGAGGCTCGTTGTGCCATCCCGAAAATCCCGTGATGCTCGTCACGTCCATCTGCGCTCACACGCTGTCCTTTAGGCCCATCATCCTGCCGGACACCATCGTGTTGCGGGTTGGCGTGCCCTACAACGCAAGGACGTCGTCGTGGGCCAGCTTTGACGGGCGGGAGCGGGTGGAGCTGAAGCCCGGCGACTATGTGACTGTGAGCGCGAGCAGATATCCGTTCGCGTCGGTGCAGACGGAGGGTCGGAGGAGCGAGGATTGGATCAATAGTATAAGCGGGAAGCTGGGATGGAATACGAGGCAGAAGCAGAAGGGCTTCAAGGAGTGGGATAGCTGAGTGCTTGGTCTTTGGTTTTTTTTTCTTCCTTCTTCCAGGTCGGAGTATGGGCTCATGACGATGCTTCTGGGATCCTGGGCTTGATAGAGGCGGGTTTGATAGGCTTGCGTTGAGTTCTAAAATGCTGGCTACTACTCAAATGTATCAACGGAAAAAGGGGGGAGTGGTCTTATACTCAAACTGTCAACATATTCTTACCTATGTATAAAATCGGTATGTAATCAGAAAATATCATGGAAAAAGAAATGCAACGCCTCGAAAGGAGGAAAAGGATCGGCTTCGTACCCTTTCAAGACAATGGAAGATGCTGCGATTCTCAGACTTTGAGCTCCACCCCCACAAATGGGCTGTTCGAACCAATGTCTGCAGCCCCACGCTAGCAAAACGGCCCTGGTCCAAAGCTTTCTGCGAACAGGTGAGATCGACGGCACACGCTGTCAACTATCTAATCACTTCTGACATTGTGTGTTGTGTGTGTGTGCTGCTGCTGTATTGCTGACAAGAGGAGGTCAACTTCTTACTTGTTGTAGTCGGAAACACCAGCGACTTCGATTTTCCTCAATTGCCTCGATTTTCGTTCTCGTACAGAAGAAGCATTACCATCCCAACACCGGACAAATCACACGAACAACCACAACCACAAACCGCAACAATGGCCTCCTCCTCCTCCTCCCTCCCCCCCGACCTCTTCGACAAAACAACCCTCATCTCCCTCGCGTCGACCCTCGCCATCGTCCTCGTCGCCTACCTCGCCTCCCTCGCCGCCCTCCCCCGCAATAGCAGCAGCACCACCGTCCGCTTCCTCTTCATCTGGCACCTCGCCGACGCGCTCTGCCACTTCCTCCTCGAGGGCAGCTTCCTCTACCACTGCTTCTTCTCGAGCATCCCCGTCGCCGAGGCCCGCAGGGCCGGCATCCTCGCCGACCTCGTGCCCACGCCGTTCAACTACCTCGGCCGCGAGGACGGCGCCATCTACGGCCCGCAGAGCGGCGGGGACAATCCGTTTGCGCAGCTGTGGATGGTGTATGCGAGGGCGGATAGGCGATGGGCTGGAGCTGACTTGGTGAGTACCTTAGTTTCCATTGCCACATGAAATAAACCCTTTCTGAGGAAAGACAACAAAAGAGAGGAGGAAGTGAACGAAAGGGGATTTGCAAGACCGTTTTTTAGCCCTGGACAAAGGAAAAGATTCGCTGACCGAAGTGTGAAAATAATGAAAAACAGGGCGTCATCAGTCTGGAGCTTCTGACAGTCTTCTTCGACGGCCCCCTCGCGGTATACATCTGCTACCTCCTCGCAAAGGGCAACCCCAAAGCCAACATCTGGATGATTGTCCTCGCGACCTGCGAACTCTACGGAGGTACGATATACGACCAACCCCGTCGAATGATAATAACCACCAGCAGCAAAAAAAAGAAGAAGGAGAAGAAGAAAAGACAAAATCCATATACACTCACCGAGAAACGCAACATGGGCTAATGGAGATATGGCAGGCTTCATGACCTTTTGTCCCGAGTGGCTCACCGGCAACATCAACCTCGACACCAGCAACTTCATGTACCTGTGGGTGTACCTGGTCTTCTTCAACATGCTGTGGGTGTTTATCCCGCTGTTTGCGATTGCGTATTCCATCGGCGACATTTCCAATGCGTTTGCTGTGCGGGAGGCGTTGAGACAGGCGAGGAAGAAGCACTAAATGCATCGACGACGGTCTACGCTGCGGTAATGTTTGAATATGTGTACATGTTCTATCTTTCGTGAGGCTGGCGAGGGTTTTTATCCTCCAACCCGTTGAACATGGACGCAACGACAAGGGCCAAAGAAACAAAATTGTGCGACCATATATTGTACTACTTTAAAAGTCATTGATAGCGGAATGACTGTATCTGCTTGATATCGTTAAATGGTCCGACGAAGATCTGGATGACATTTACCTAAAAATCACATAGTTAAGGCAGGAAACAAAACGGCAAACTTGTTGCTACCAATCGTAAGGCATAAATTCAAACAAGGTTCACTGGAAGCAACAATCACAGTCGAGAGAAACAATCAAATAGGGTGAAAAGTTTATTGTGCTAATAGGGTATCTTTGTCTGTCGACAAACCGAAGCCATGTTGTTCGTCGTTGATGTTTCATTCAACCAATCCTCCCATGCACTCCTTTAGATAGCCTGCTTGTGGGCCTCGCCCTTGGTGTCGTGCTTGGACTCGTCAACCTTGTCGCCGAGAGCGTCCTTGGCGGCGGAGGCACTGTAGAAGTGATTGTTAGAATCATTGTCATCGAGGAGAGAGAAGGAAGTCTTACCGAGTGCCGACGGGGGCGTTGCTGTCCTTGGCGACGTTCTTGTTGGCTTCCTTGGAGGCTCCAGAGGTAGCCTGCTGGACCTTCTCGCCGACGTAGTTGGCACCCTGCTTGATGGAATCCATTGTGATGGTTGGTTGTTGTTTGAAAGTGGTTTGTGAAAGTTGTTGTAGAGTTGCAAATGTTGCTTGAGGTTTGTAGTGTGAGTGTGTGATGATGAAGGAAAACGAGTGAGATGGATGGGAGGATGGAAGAGTTTATATAGACCTGTGAAGGCGGGAAGGAGCGCTTGCACTCTGGACCCTATCCGAGGAGAAGCGCTAAGATCCAAGGCAATTCACTCCTTCTGCCATCATGTGAAGCAGGAACATGGCGTCATAGAACGCATCATCATCAGCACCAAGCTTGTGAATGCACACAGAGGCAGGATCGAGTGGTCGTGCGTGCCAGCACAGGCCAGTGCCCGGAGGGGCGAGGGGCTACATGCAGCAGTTGCCGGTTCCAAGGCGGAGAGACTTGGGATCTACGCAGTATCTTGGTTGTGACGTATGTATTTGTCCGCCTATGAACATGTACCCGCGGCTGTCGTCACGGCGGCTCTTGAAACAGCAACGTAAAATCCGCTGCATTCAATCTACAACTTGTTGGAAGGTGTGCTGTACGAAGTATGCTTGCGTTGGTATATGACATCATGGCATTGAGGGGGCGGGACGTCACTGCCTTGTGAAAGCCGCTGGATCGTCAGGATCCGGTGAAAGGAGGTCCGGACAATTCCTGAGGCCAAGATGTCGGGAACTGTGCCAACAATGAGCAAGGTAGGACAGGCGTCTATCAACGGGATTGGCTGTTGTCGCGGACAAGCTTCTGGCTACTGTATGTATGCATATCTTGCGCATGTGAGTGAAATTGGCGGGGCGATCGAGTTGGATCGGACCCCATCTCCATAGTCCCGCTGCTCCAAACAAGGCATCTACCCTTACTGCACTGTAAGGGTCAATTTGTGGCTGGTGACAAGTGTCCTCTTGGTCCTTCTTGGTGCTGTTTCTGGACCTGCCGTGCGGTGGCGACGCCACGAGTGGCGCCTCTAAATCGCGGGCAGCCGTGAGAAGTGGAGAACTCCCGCGGCCACCATGACGCATCAATGGCATAATGACGACGATTGAGCCTTCCTGCCTTGTTGCTGGTCGGCCTTTTGTGAGATGCAGATTCCGCAATGCGGCCGCGATTGGGCCTGCTGATGCAGTCCATCGAGATCTGCAGGGGATCGAGCGCGGAAGAATCACTCCGCTGCTTGTTGGGCGAGCCTGCCTGCCTTGGCTGCCAAGCTGCGTCTTCCGAGGTGACGAGCTGCCTTGGTCTGATTGCTTCATTCGCTGGAGCTTACCGAACCGTGACGCTATGAGGCGCGGCGCGGATTAGGCAGCGTGCACTGTCGCGTTTGGTGCTGTTGGAAGGAAGCTGTTCGTGCAAACTGTGTTGGAGACGCGAGTGGACGATACCGCAGTGGCGATCGTTAACCGAGGCTACGAGGTTCGAAATATTCGGTATCGGATTCGATGTTCTCGATGCTTTCCAAATCTCGAAAACCGCCACTGTGCCATGGGAATTGGGTACGAAGCTCTCCAAGTTTTGCAGATATCGATCTGGACGAACCATCAGGGTGCAGGCGATAGACGACAGACCGCAGTCGGCACAGGTGCTGGTGATTTGTTGCAGTCGATACCACATAGACGTCCGATGGCTGGCTACGAGTACAAGCATCAAACAAAGCGAACTTTCAGAAATTCCTTGGTTGGCATGGTCTGAAGAGAGCAAGCCAGTAGACCGGATGCCCTGGACCGCTGGAACGACAGAAGCAGACGCTATCGCCTCATCTACATTGCGCCGTTGCTCTTCTTCCGGCCCTCCTTGTTCATGTCAGCTACCCATATATCGCAAATACCGTGAAGCAGAATCTACAAATCTGTGTGATATGAAGAGCGCTACCACAGTAGACATCTAATGGCAGAACCGTCGCTCTACCGTGAGCGGCATCGTGAAAACACCAAGGAGGCAGATTTGGGGTGCGCGCGAGATTCTCTCACCTATCCGGCGTGCACATCCAGTTAAAAATGTTGAGTACCTTATAGCCCAATTGTGACTCTCTGAAGCCGAGCTCCAGTACTTATATGTATATACAGGTGGTAGTAGTGATATATTAGCACGGATCACCCTGGCATGTTTCAGCCTTTGGGTTCTGCGAACCCGGCAGTGCTTGTCGCATCGAGCACCACCGAGATCCGCCAAATCTCGCAGCAGGGATCAAGATGCTGAGCTGTCTCCTCGAAACAGCTGCAATTCCAGAGCTGTTGCTGTTCGATTCTACCCACGTGTAGAAGCAGCGAAAAGAAACAGCAGAAGCAAAAACAAAAGCGAACGGACCACTTCTCCAACTATATCATGTCCCATCTCGTCGACGCCTCGTGAGAAACGACCCGCAGGCCACGATGCGACACCAGGGGTTCTCCGCGAATGGCCTAAGCCGGGTTGGACCATAGCGGCTCTTCAGCGTTCGCAGGCTTACCGGATCGGTGCCAGGATCACTCGCATTTGCCTGCAGCGCGCATTACTAGCAGCTTCAACTCCTGCCTCTGACATGGAGCTCCTGAGTTTCGAAACTCGAAGCTGTTGCAAGTCTGCTTCAAACATGAACCCCACCAGCACCCTGAAGTCGGCCGCGGACAGCCTGTTACTGGATCATCCATCACACGGCTCATGAGGCTCTGACATTCGCTATCCAAACATAGACACGAAAAGTACCCGTTGAGGTATGCGACAAGGCTTTGAAGCAGCCCAGCAGCTATCTCGGCCTCGCCTTGACTTGTACGAGTCGTGATGGCCAAGAGACGCTATGGAAAGCAGATACAGGCCAATTGCAGCAAGCCTAAACAGATGCCGAGACTTCTGCGCCGATGAATCTTCGGCCTCCCCATCTAGCTCTCGCTTCGACTCCTAGTCATGTTCCAGGTCGAGGGGGTTGACAGAGAGAGAGAGAGCATGATTCACAGATAAAGCAAGGCATTGGCTGTTCTTCTAGAAAGCCTCATGGCCACTAACCCCTGGCCAAGACGACAGTGTCATCCTAACCGTTGGTGCCGGTTGCAACGCCGACCCATGTTCTGCTAGACCTGGGCCTTGAGTTCATCCCCAGGGTCGTCGTCCGGATCTTGACATCCCGGAGCCCCCTGGGCATGGCCGCGTTCACTGCCCCACGATATGCCGCCAGCTTCTCCCTCTTTCGTCTCATGTGTCGGTCTTCCACGCTTTCCTTTGCCTTCACTACTCGCTCTGGTAGCAGTATTTGGCGTCGGTAAGGAGTAAACATTGTTTCTTTCACTTCTTTCCTTCACTTCTTTCTCCCCCCCTTTCTTCCTTCTCTTCTTGCTGGCTTCGTTTCTTGCCCGTGCGTAGTCGTCTGGACGACTGATACCGCGGCTGATTTGTGTTGGGCGTTTGGATGCTTGCACTTGGGTCGAGCTTCCCAAGCAGCTTTGTTTCTCATTCGTTTCTTTGCTCCCGCTGGGCGATAACAATCTTTCTACTTATCTTCTACTTCATTCTTTGTCCTTCCAGTCTTTCTTATTCTTTCCCGATAGCGGCACGACAGTTAACACGGGACACGGCAATTGTACATCTCCACCTTGGTATCGAAAGGTGCCAATGGCAGCCTGAGGCCCGACTCGTCGAGGCTTCGACGCCGGTGCTCGATCCGCCATATATTTCGTTACCAAAGAACAAACGAGAGCAATTCAACGACACACCAACATGGAGAGCTGGTATTTGCCATCAGAGCAGCCGAGAGGGATGGTTTGGGCCAGGGAAGTAGACGATGATATGGGCGGATTCCAATTCATGGACAACACCACCTCCGCCGTCATCAACAGCCTCAAGTTTGATGTAGCCAAGCAAGTCCGATCTATGATCATCATACTTGCTGGATTCAATGTTGCCATGGCCTTCGTGCTGGCAGTCATCATATTTCGGAATGGTTACAAGGCAACCCAAAAGAGCGATCCAGCCTTCGGATTTCGGTATTTCTCCCCAGTCTCATTACCAAATGCATAATTGCCATCTGACGCTGCTCCAGTTCATCCTTCATCAGATATATTGAGATATCAGAAGTGTTCCCATTCGTCTTATCCATTGGCATAATAATCCAGGGCATCATCTACGCGGCCAGCCAGATCAAGGGTCTGGACGGCCTCCTGATCCTGGGATGTACGTCCATCTCACAGGCTATGTTCCCAGGTAAGTTTATTCCCCCCGAATTTCTCCAAGGCCACCTCTGATCTTTTGCTAGCCCTGTTTGTTGTCCCGTTCGTACAACTAGTCTTCGGGCTCGAATCGACCGTCCAAGCTCTGAGGCGGAAGCCATTCCAGCAGCGACCTAGATGGGTCACTGTCGGTTGTCTCCTCATTGTTATTATTGGCACCCTGCTTCTGTATGTGCAGACGCGCGTTATGAGACCTCCCGACCTGTGTTATGCTTCTCTTTTCTGGTTTGTGCAAACTTGGAGGCTCGAGGCATTCGCCCTTTTAACGATCATCGGCTGCGCCCTGGTCATCGGAGCCATCGTCGTGTTTGTTCGACTGCATCGAGACACATCAATTGGCATTATCGAAAGGACGGCCGCTTCAAAAATGGTTTACTACATGATTCTGGGCGCCGTGTTGAATGTACGTTCTCTTGGATACCCATCTTACTTGTTCTATACGTGCGACTGACATGGAGCCTAGGGATTAATGGCTCCCTTCTTCTTCAGCATTTCGGCCCAAAACCCGCTCGCACTGGCAAGTATCCAGTTGAACCTCAATATGGTCGGCTCGGTGGCAAGCAACGTCTCAGGAATTACCTTTGGCGTTCTTTATCTCTTCCTCCGCTCCCGCAAAATGCAGAAGATTGGGCCTCTCGGACATGTCGAGCTTGGCAGTCACAGGAGAGAAAAGTCTATGGAATCATGGCACGGGTCGCAGATATTCAACACCCAGATTGAACAGCCGGTCTCTCCAGTGAATGTGTTCGAATCTCGCCGGAGTATGAGCATATTTGGGTCCAAGATCAGAAAAAGCGATAGCTCTGCAGCGGCACATATCAAGTCTCCCAGCAGCGGAGACGACGCTGACGATTCGAATTGGCCCCTTGTTTCCCCAACGCAAGTTGTGACTCGGCCTCGGAAGAATTCCTACAGTTTGTTCCCGAACCAGCAGGGAGCGCTTGAGAGCAAGCCCAAGGGCGCCACTATTCTTCCTTCTACGACCTATACGCCAGATACGCCGATGGTAGATAAGGACCGCATGTCACTCATCAACGAGATGTTTGAGGAGCTTTTGCCGCCGCCCACGATTCGCGTCTCGGGTGCCCCCAGGCACAATCGAGAGTCATCACTGGTCAGCTCTGCGACAGTCCAGATCGGCTTGAGAGTATCCAACCTCGAGGACGCGGCGCGTTTGAATAGTTCTTTCTACCTGTCCCCCAAGAGGCCCTCTTCGCCGACTCGTCCAGCATCCTCGTCATCGGATGTGGCCCAGACTGAGCAGTTCCCCAGCGCAGCGAGTTCTCGCCGCAGCAGTGTTGCTACGAGCGTTGGCCGCAGGGAGTCAACAACTGTCGAAGTGAGGTCCGAGGAGCAGCCTATGACTCTTGCTCCTGCTGTATACAGTCCCGGAAAAGCCATAACTTCACATGAAAAGGATCGCAGGAGTATGGACTCCACTCCTTCGACTGCCGGTGCTCAGTCGACTGATGGCAAATACTCGGTGGGAACAGCGGACTGGATCTGACGATTGCTGTGTCCTGACAGCCTTTATCCCCATCTTCCTTCATTTCCTTTCTAACATCTGATGATCCTTGGGGTTGCAACCCTGAATTGACTTTTCTACCCTGACAACAACGACTGCCCATGCTGCTGCTCAGAATTTCACAGTACATTGCCCAAGATACCCCGACAAAACATATCAACGCTTTCTTCCCTCCTTTTCTATATCTATCTTCTCCTTTGGCCCTTCTGTGAGGGGCAATTAAACAACGTGACTCGTCATCCTGTTATGATGGACCAAGCCTTCTTGCAACCCCATGTGCTCTAAATTCTCAACCCTACTTTATTCTACTTTACCTTCTCTTTGTTTTTTATTTTATTTTACAGTCTACTTAACACTCCCTACCCTGGTATGGAGCGATCTTCAGAGCCATATGTAAGGCGAGGGTATCATTTCACAGCTACTACTCTACTCGCAGGGCAAAGTGGGAAAATGCAATGTATATAGAGGTCGTTTTCGACAACAAGAAGACATTTGACAAGAGACAAGCCATTGATGAGCCTCCTCCACATTTAGTGAGACTCATATGCGAAACAGCATGTGGACAATGTATGAATTGTAGATGCTCCTGTTCATCTTGTATATCTTACCTAGTTTGCCTTTGTCCCTTTCTTCTTCTTCTTCTTCTCTTCCCACCTTTCCCACCCTGCCTGACACATGTCCTCTTCCACTACTAGATCGCGTATCCTCAACATCTTCGCGGGCGGCAGCTCGAGACCCCAAGCCAACCACCCCGTTCTCCTAAGCATCTCCGTCGCTACATACCACACCAGCGCAAAGACAACGCCGGCCGCCACGCCGGCAGCCACCTGCGTCGTTGTATGGTAGTTCAAGTATATCCTACTCCACGCCGTCGCCGCCGCAACTAGCAGCCCAGCAAAGCTCACAGCCAGCCTCTCAGCTAGACTCCACGGCCGCGAGCCTTCCCAGACGTTATTCCTCGGCAACGACGACGACGACGGATTTGACCTGGACTGCTGCCGGGGCTTATGCCGGACGAGGAGAAACAGGGCGAGAGAGATGCTCCAGAAGGCGACGAACTGGGCGTGGGAGCTGGGCATGCCGTAACCCTTCCCGTGGATGCGGCGCGGGCGCTCCTCCTTGATGATGCGCTTGAGGAGGAAGTTGAGGGCCTCGCAGGCGAGCTGGCCGGCGAAGGCGAGGCATATCTCGGCCTCGCGGGTGGAGAAGATGAGGGTCGCGTAGACGACGCAGAGGGCCTGGGGGAGGAGGGCTAGGTAGGCGCATAGGAGGGATAGGTAATCGTTTGGATCCTAGAATGGATGGGTTAGTTTTGGGAGGGATTCTGAGGAGAGGATTTGTTGATTGGAGGGGAAATGGTTGGATTTACATAGTAGACGTGGGTTACGGAGAGGGATGCGAGGGTGGATGTGTAGTCGTCGCTGTCCATGGCTGCTGGAGGTTGGTGAGGCAGTCAAAGAGAGTTGAGGCTCGAGGCGTGCTGGCTCAAACGCTCAAGTTGATGCAAGAAAGAAGTGCCAAAGCAAAGGCAAAAAGAATGTAGAGAGAGAATTGAAAGAATTCGGGTCGGGCTACCGAAGTGATAGCGCTACCATCATGTGTCATGCAAAGGGTCAATCGCAGACGAAGAACAGAACAGGCAAGTTGATGATGCAAAGACAAGTCGATCGAGACGAGAGCGACGCATGTGACGGCATTCTGGGGCTGAAAGGAAGAAGGAAAACGTGGCTTGATTCCACGCGAAGACTGTGGCGCAGGCTTCCCGCTTTTTTCCTTTTTTTCTGCGCCACCACGGCAAGTGACACATTGGGAAGCGGCTTCCAGAAGAGCATCAGATGAAATTTACATAAGGTATCTTCTGGTTCCCTTATTTCTTCCACAACTTCATATTCTCTCCTTCTCCCATCATCTCGCTCGACTGTCTTATTGCTCAACGACACCCATTGGATATCCTCTCTTCGCCGTTCCTCGTCGATTCGTCACCGAGTCCCAAGCGTGCGTTAGTACGGCGAATGCTCTCGATGTGATTGGATTAGCAATTATCGCCGATTAAGGCAGAAGCACCTCGTCTCTTACTCACGCCCTTTGCCACAAGTTTTCTGCACTAGGATTTCTCAAAAGCTCGAGACATTTCGTCTCTTGCTTTCAGTTGGCTTATCCATCACACATCTCGTGTCGCTCTCTTCTTCTTACAATCTCGACATACGTCTCGGACCCCTCTTCTCCGCTGGACATGATTCCGCTGAGCAGACGACATGGATTCAGCAGCCGATGACGATGACGCTCGCGCCACGGAGCTGGAAACTCTCAAGGCCATTTATCCCGAGCTTCGCCGCCCTGATGGCGCTGGATTTGTCTTTGAACTCGAGCTGCCTGTCGAGCCGGCTGCTCCCGTAACCGTCACATTCCCCGCGGCTTCTCCGTCCGATCAGGCTCTCAACGGCTCCGCGTCTGCGGCACCGGCTCTGGAAGACTCTTTGCAAGTCTCTCATCTGCCCCCTCTTGCTTTACACGTCACCTTACCAGACGGCTATCCCGCAAAATGCCCGCCCTTGGTGAACATCTCCACCACTCCTCAGTGGCTCTCGGCAGACAAGCTTGCTCAGCTGGCTGAAGAAGCATCCCAGCTGTGGGAAGAAATGGGACGGGACTTGGTGGCCTACACTTACATCGATCATCTCCAGCAGGCTGCTGACGACGTGTTTGGGGCCATCACCGCCGAGGGCACTCTTCAGGTTGACCCGGAGCACAAACTTGCTGTGCTGGACTATGATATCAAAGCCAAGAAGGCGGCGTTTGATAAGGAGACGTTTGACTGTGGCATATGCTTAGGTACGTATGAAACCAGCCATTACCTGTCTGGTTCTGTGAGTCCTCATACTAACACTTTGCGGCGCTCTCAAGATCCAAAGAAGGGGTCAAAGTGCCATAAGATGCTTGACTGCGGTCACATCTTCTGCTTGCAATGTCTCCAGGACTTTTACAATGATGCCATCAAAGAAGGAAATATGTCAACTGTTCGCTGTTTAGCCCCCAACTGCGCCAAAGAACGCTCTACGGCCGCCAAGGCTGCAGGAGAAAAGGGGCGCAAGCCCAAGGTTTTCATCAGCCCTAGCGAGCTGCTGCAGATTGGTCTCTCTGAAGACATGGTCAAGCGCTACGTTGATCTCAAATATAAGACGGAACTCGAATCCGACAAGAACACCATCTACTGCCCTCGACAGTGGTGTAATGGAGCTGCTCGCTCCAAGAAGCACAAGAAACCCTCAGGCCTCGATTTTGGTGAGACTTCCGATGCCGAGTCTGACGAGGATGAAAGAGACGAAAAGGGCAAAAAAGCGGCGGATAAGTTCAACCCTGGGGACCTGTTGTCCGTCTGCGAAGATTGCGGATTCGCCTTTTGCAGTCGATGCTTCCAGTCATGGCACGGAGAGTTTGTGCACTGCGCCCCCAGACGCAAGGACGGGGAACTCACCGAGGAAGACAAGGCTTCCCTCGAGTATCTCAAGCTGCACACGAGCCCCTGCCCGACCTGCAACGCCCCCGCGCAGAAGACGCATGGCTGTAACCATATGATCTGCTCACGATGCGACACCCACTTCTGTTATTTGTGTTCCTCCTGGCTGGATCCAGCGAACCCGTACCGTCACTACAACCAACAGGAGAATGGAAAGGTTACGTCATGTTATATGCGCCTGTGGGAGCTGGAAGGCGGAGATGGCGACGATGTCGGCATAGGGTTTGTCGGCGGAGGAGGTGCGGCGGTCAACGATAACGCTGGTGAAGCAGCGCTAGAAGACGAAGAATGGGTTGGTGTCGTTATCGAAGAGGTGGATGACGACGAGGACGAGCATAATGCCAATGTCAACGCAAACGGGCCGGCACAGCTGGATGAGAATGGGCAGAGAGTTGCCGTAGCTCGCGAAGCCCCCCTTGTTCTACGTCTTGTCGACAACCCGGGTCCTAACGGCAACAACAATAACAACAACAACAACAACGATGACAACCAGGCGCGTGCTGGACCTCGGGGCGCAGACAACCAGCCTGCAAGAGGTCGCGGCGGAGGAGCAGGCAGAGGACGTCAGGCGGCACAAGGTCCGAACTACCGTGCAGGCCAGGCTGGCAATAACAATGCCAGAGGCCATCCTGCCAACCGCGCAAGGGGCGCTAGGGGCGATGCCCGTCGAGCCGCTCAGGACGGTGGACGAGGAGGACGAGGCAGAGGAGCTGCAGGTCGAGGAGGCGCCATCCGTGCCGAAGCCGCTGCGGGTGCGGCGAGGCAGCATCAAGATGGCAACATCAACAATGAGGATGTACTCGATGCCGCTCAGGAGGCGTGGATTCGACACTTTGTCCAGATGGCGCTCATTGATGCTGAGGATGAGGTCGAGGGAGGCGATTCAGACGACGATAATGAGAACTGGCGAATACGATGACATGGGCAGGAAAGATTGATGTCCATGTCAGGATGAAAATTTTGCATCAAGCATCTTTGTAAAGCCTACATTGATATAACTTCTAGCGGATACTGCTGAATTTGTTATTTTCTTTCCTTCTTATATATTCTGGACACTGCTTGTCAATTCGATTCTGCCAGCCTACCCTCAACTGTTCAGCAAGTATCGGATATCTCTAAGGTACGAAACATCACCCTTTGCTACAGATTTGTTGTACAAAGAATTGCCGGCTACGAAGCGAAATGCGGTTATGGAGAGGTGCAGCCCAAGGGTACCTCAGGGAGCAATTCAACACAGGATGAACCCAAGGTTCTGCGAATAGAAAGCATGTAGCAAAAAACAAATTCCATCAAATTTGATAAGAGGTCCTAGGGAGGATTACCTCTAGATCGTACTTCTTGTAAGGATAAAAGACGAATGGCTGGCCCTGGCAATCAATCACTGCTTGCAAAACCAAGCAGGTAAGAGGCGGACGAGCATGGCGGCAAGGAGGGAACTCAGCGAAGCTGTTACTCGTGTAGCGATGAAATACTGTACTCTACGGAGTATGTCGTCTACGAGGCTACATTCATACATCTAGACAGCTGGAATAGAACGTTACATACCATACCTGACTGTAAATCTGTGCGTGCCTGCCCCTGAGTTAGCAACAAGATATCCCATAGCATCCGTTGGGGCCCAGCAAATAAGATGCTGCAAGGCTGCGTGTGTGAGCACTAGAAGTAAACGAGGCCATCGTGCGCCATCAAACAAGGCCCCGTATAATGAAAACCAGGATGGGGGTGATTCGTTTTCGTTCCCAAAGCAAAAAACAAAACCGGAGCAAACCAAAAGAGCAGGGACAAAAGAAGAAACAATCTAGGCCGAGCAGCTAGGGATCCCCCCCCCAATTCCCTACCCTCCATTAGCGAGGCCGAGAAAAGGCCATTTGCTATTTCCATCAACAGAGATGAGAAACAAACTGTCAGTATCCGTATCTGGAATTTTCGGCCATGTTGTTGTGGAAATGAACGGAGGTGGATTCCCGCGCCAGAACGCATATGCCAACGCCGGGCCCGAGCGTGGATTGCCAAAGTCCCTTGCCTCCGAGCAATCGCCTTGACGAGCTTATTGCATCTTTCCTACCTCGGCCCCCCCCTCCCCCCCGCGGGCGTATCATATCGAAAACAGAAGGTTGTTGATCATTTTTCCGTTCGGCACTCAGAATCCGCAACGGCTGCTTGCTAAACAACCTTTGTTCTTAGAAGCTGTCCCAAAACGCGCAGCAACAACTTGCATCATGCCTCCTCCCCTTGGCCCGTGGCAAGGAGCAGCCAACCTCGTTTGCCGGAGAGTTGAGTGGTTCGCTAGGGACAAAGGAGAGCTCACATGTCGATACTACCGGATCGGGCCAGCGGCCATGGCGGAGAAACCCTTTCGGGCCTTCCGCCTCACCTGGCCACTCGCGGCTCCCGTCCATCACCATGATCCTCCCCCCCAACCTGTACCAAAGCGTCGCTGTCTCCGAGCCCACGCGGCATACGGAGCAACTTAGATGTGTGCAGACTTCTGGGGTGGCCAGGGGGGCATGGAAAGACGGACATGCATTGGCCAGTAGCGACAGAGAGAAACTGGGTAAAAGACAGAATAGAAAGAGGCATAATCAAGAGAAGACAGAGGGAATAAGTGACACCCCCTGACCAAAGGGGGCCGCAAGCTTGGCATCGCTTTTGCTTCTCTTCGGCTGCCGTGGGCTCTGAACACCGGACCTTGGTCTTTTGTTTGCAGTAAACAGTAGAAAAACTTGAAGGAAAGTCGTTGGCACCGTCCTCGCGGTATGACGCAAGAATGGTTGTAGTACCGTATCGTATAATATGATAGCTAGCAGATGCGGCACACAAGGCGTCAGATGCAGATTGTAACTGAGCTCATGCTGCTCATGTGCTCGCTGGCTTGCGTAGTAACGCAGCAGACGCAGGTGTGTCAACTAATCCAGTCGGGAGAGCGTAGCAGTAAGACGACATTACAACGCGGAAGAGAGCGTTACATAATTTCATTAAGCATAAAGCGTCGACGTCTCTCAAGTGCCGTGGCCAGATCTGTTCCTTGTTCCGCGAAGCAAACATGCGACATGTAGATGCTCCGTATCGAAGGCATGGCCACGGCCTCACATCTCTCCGTTCACAGGTGCTTCGAACGAGTCACGACACGCAACTCGTCTCACCACTGCAGTCAGGCATCTGGTGGATTCGGCGCTGAGCAAAAGCAAACGTGCATCAACCATCCTGTGGCCACATCGTGTCGAGTCTGATGGAGATAGCACTCGAGCAGCAGGGCATCGTATGCGGTTTGTCGTCTAAGCTTCTCAGCAGATCCAGTCATTCCTCATGAGGCACGTCTCTCTCACATGAATAGCGCCCCACAGAGCCACAGTCTTTGGAGGTGCGAATATGGACTTCAGCTGGTGCCCAGGCCAATACCGAGCAGCAACGTCGTATTCCTGGCGGTGATCCATACTAGCCATGCCGGTACTACCTCATGCGGAGTAGTAGCACATAGCCCCCAGTAGCTTAGCAGCAGACTATGTCGCACCGCTTGTTGCTATGTATGTAGATTGCTGAAGATGTCCGATCTGCTCCTTCACCTCGACCAAGTGACAGAGAATGATTGCGTGGGATGGCCTTTGACGACGCTTTCATGTGGTACCAGCACCAAGTTCCGGTCGCCTTGGCAATAAGCCGGGAAGATTCCTGATCATCTTGCAGCCAGTGATATGGTGATGGTTCGAGATCATACGTGTCTCTCACATCACAAGAGAAAGTGCGGAATTGGCGTGAAACAGCTTGAAAGAACGACTTGGCACATGATGGCTACTCAGTAGCTTGGCGAGGGCGGGTATGCTGGACGTACTCCGTACGAAGCACCATTATCCACGAGGCAAGGGGTGATTCAGACCCTCTTTCACAATGCTGCGTATGCGAGAGAGATCTGACAACATGAGGTGCCACTAACATCTCAGATCAGCATGCTGCGCTTGCTTTCAGCGTTCTGGTATCTGAGTGCTCTTTTCATGTCAACCTCCTCCCCCGAGTCCATGAGGATGCTGGGCAATCTCCGCAAAAAGTGTGCCGCTCTCCAGGGTTCTCGTGAATCCTGGGTATGCCACCGCAAACAATGCTTCTACTTCGTACAAAGCGCATACAAGTTCGAGTGCTTTGGCCGTGTTCCAGCGGATGCTGTGGTCAGTTGCGGTTGATCCCACGCTAAGCACCGGGGTATGAAGGGTGACACTCAGGATGTATGCACGTAGTACGAGCAGATCCGGTTCATGGCGCGGGGTGAGGTGAGCCTCTGCCGGCTGCTCTCTGTTAGCTCGTCTTCTGCCACATGAAGGTGTAACAGTTGACGATCTGCTTCGTAGCCATCAAAGTAGTGCACGGAGTCGATGCGAAGCATTACTTCGACCATGGGTGACATCCCGCCAGCCGCATCTCTTGTCCCCTATCCGGAAGAGCAATGTGAAGTCCAGCCATATCCCATGTGCGCAAGCCTCTGGGCTGCCTATATTCAAGACCCATGCCAGCTGCTCCCCAGCATGGCGAAATGCTTGAGGCATCCGGGCGCTTAGTTGCTTCATTGTCAGTGCTCGCTGTTCAACTGTTGCGCTGCGTTGCAGTTGCAGGCGGATGCGTCAAGGTCAAAGTGCCCATCATCCCAGGGTACTTTGGCAGAACAAATCGACTTATTCGCGCACGGCAGCGCACGGCATCGCGTCAAGTGTACCCCCAATCCCTCCGGCAGTCAAAACCGAATCATCCGCATCTGAAGACTTGGAAACATGATCTGATTCTGGGTAGTGCGTCGGCCGCCGATGAGCGGTAACGCCGCTCCAAAGGCATGTTGTCCTTGCTCCTTTCCTCTGCCTTTCCTCTTCATCTCTTTCCGTCTCTTTTCCCTTGTTCATCTTCCTCGTTGCTTTTTCCTTTTTCTCTTCTCCCTCTCACTTGCTACCCCTTGTGCTCGCAGCTCATCACGTCCATGGCCCGTTTGAATGCCAGTTGAGAGCGGCCAGCAAAGATCTTGTTCGTCAGGACTGAGTCGAGAGTTGATCTGGCCAAGCTGCCTCATGACAAGCCAACACGGCCGCGGCACAGATGCCTGTATCCGCGCTCACACCATTGGACCTGTCGATGCTCCGCAAAACGAAGCGGACCGGTATAAGTGGGCTCTTCGACAAGGGCATGGACTTGTCATGCAACAACTTCCATCGCGGGGTTTCTGCGGGCCAAAGCGCAACGGCGCCTGTTCCTTACGGGGTAAGGTCCTAACAGGGGGGTGGCATCAAAGCGGCCGACCAAGGAAGCTTAGACGCGTACCAGCCAACGGCCGTAAGGATCTCGGCCGCCGGCTTGGAAGGGCTCGCAGATACCTCTTCCGAAGCGAGGGGTACTCGTACAAATCGAGAACTTCCTTGACGGACTGGCTGGCATCATGATCGACGCACAGTATGCAGCGGTCCGAGCAGGAAGCCATATCAACTGCAGCCGGGAAAACACTTCTCCCCCTCCAATTCGATGCGATGAACACTATAAAGAATCAAGTGCTTCGTCCTCGCACGGAGGCGCCTCGTACTTGAATGCTTTGCAAGCTTATTAGGGCCATCGTGGAACTTCGCCCCTCGAGAAACCTCCTAGGGAGCCCCATTGTCCAAGGATCGTATATGCTTTGCAGACCGGGGATCTGCATCTTGCCAAAGCGCCGTAGATCATCAAGCCCTGGGAAATGATACCCTGTAGGCTGCTGCTACCGAGTGCGACATGACAAGACAACCAAAGGTTCTTTTTCTCTCCGAAGATCCTTTGCTGCTGATGGTAACAAATGTTAAGTTGCCCTGCAGCCGGCATAGCAAAGACGGAAACAAACGCAACGTCGGCCTCAAGGCCTTCGTCTTCAACCTGCAGCTCTGCAATGGTCCCAAGTGCGCCAAGCTTATCAAGTAGCCCCGACACGCCGAGGGAGCTTGCATGTGTTTGCGCAGATACGGAGGACAATCCATGCGTCAGATATTAGGCGTACGGATAATAGTAGTAGATCCGAGCCAAAGGTCGCCTGGACGTGCATGCACAAGTACAGGAGAGTATCGTGGACTCTGCCTGCACTTGCAGGTGAGTGTACCAGGCATTACCAAATCATTGGCCGTGGGATGTAGACAGGTAATAATAAGCATGTTATAGTCCCCCGAATATGTCGGCTGACTGACGATCCTGGCTAGAAACCCTCGCGTACGGATAAGCACAGCGAATGAGTTAACGCAGGCTGCAAAGGAGTAAATGCCCGTCCGGAAACCCTGTTGGCAGCCGAGTGAAGAATATGTGCTCCGTACGCGCCGTTCTTGAGATCGAAAAAAGGACGGCGTATGTACACCTCGATCAATGGTCATGCGTGATGGTCGTCGCTCTTAGGTGGTGGTGGTGGGTGATCTTACCGGTCCGTGGTGGCTCGCCATCCGTGACGAACAGCGGCCTGGCTGGCTATGCCGGCAAAGCTCTGTGACGTCGCTAGAACAATCTCGGCCAAAAGCCGAAAGAAGTTTGTACAGAGCATTCGTATGCATGATGCGAGATTGCATGGATAGTGTCTCCTGGACCACCGTGAGATGATTGTGCCTGTGATTTAGCAATCGGCTGTCTTCTTAGCCTGCTGAGCCCGTATGCTTCGGATGCGATGCAAGACAGAGTGTTCCGTAGTGAGGGGCCAGAAAGGTGCAGGCAGGTACAAGTATGCTCCTCGAAAGCCGTGAGAGCATTGACTTTGAAGACGGATAAAATGATCCATGTCAGGCCGGAGGGGAAAAAGATGAAGCTCTGCCTAGATCGGCTAGGTGCTTTGCGGCCTGTGGCAGCTCCAGGCCCCCTCTGTCCAGGGCTTGCACCATGTCTCTCTCGCTCGTGGTGTGCTGTGGACCGCTGATGCCGTGGGGAGGCCACAACAAGTGGCCGGCCTTCGCGTGGGACGTCCAGGATGCCTTGTGATGGCAAAAGGAGCATGGGGGGGTGGGGAGGCGGGAAGTAACCCTCAGCCATCTGGCGCTGCTTGTCGACCCTCACGATGAGGATAGATGAGGGCCCTGGACGGTGAGATCTCAAAAGCGGCCCCCAAACGAGCCCCTGATGGTTACATCGCCGGCGAGAAAAAGCCCCGGCGCAGAGCGATGAGACTCGAGATGAGGGCAGGATCGCTTCTGTAGCTATTCCGGGCCTGGCTGTCATGGGGCGTTATCAAGAGATCGGGAGGCTCTCGAGGCAGAGCCTTGTCTTCCCCTCGCGCGTTTGGGGGTGACGAGAGGGCCGAAGATTGGCTGAGAGTGCTCGTACGAGTATGCCCTCCTTGCCCCCCTTCCCTCGTACTTCGTAATACATACATGGCAGCGATCCCGCCGTCACATGCAGGCAGTGCCTGAACGCCACAGATGCTGGTCATTCAGCGGAGCAGCTGCACAGAGTCGGACAGGGTGTGGCGCGCATGAAGGAGAGCCGGAAATACTACCCAGAACAGGCAATCAATCGCAGACATGAGACAAGGTGTACTGGTGAACAAAGGCAAAACGTGTCCTGAATGGAGGAGGCCTCAGCAGAAAATCAGGACACAAAACGGTTGTCTAATCAAACAGACGCAGGTGTGGCAGCTGGACTTACTGTCTTGGGCTGGTTCTGCGTTCTGACCAACACCTGCAGCTTACCCTGGGTATGCCGGATATTTGCCTGGCTGTATCTCAGTAGGTCAATCTTAGCAGGTACCAGCAGTGACACCAAAACTCTAGGCTAAGTGCAGGTTCCTGTGGTGCGAGATGGTGCCGAGACACTTGACTTAGTGTGAGCGTATAAGTAAGGAAGAGCGGGTGCAAGGTAGCAGATCTCAAAGGCAACGTTAGTATCAGTAGCAATTTACCATCTGCATGCTTCGCAGGTAGGGCGAAATAAGTCCCTGCATGGCGTACGAGGTTGTTCCTGTTTGCGAGCTCTTTGAGAGCACAGATGAGCATGAGGGTTCATCATACTTCCTACCTTACAATTTCAAATCCCTTGCTTTCAGGGGTAGGCCTGGTCCTGTAGGTACGCCGTACTTCCTACATCGTCCCCCAGAGTACTCGTATACACGTACCCGTAGAGAAACACTCCCAGCTGGAAGGCGTGCTATTTGATATAAGGATCAGGCTCGATTGCTAGGTAAGTAGTGGTTGGTCGTCGTTGTTGGTCAATGACAAGAATAGGCATATGAGACTGCTTGTTCTCTGCGCAGGCGTGTTGAAGTTGTTCTTGAGCAGAAGTGACTACCTAATAATAGGTAGGATAGTTCATCAGAGTCCGTAGGTATAACGACGAAACGGCATCATCTTAGGCACATGCCACACGCTTAATCACTGTATTAGCGTGAGGGCGAATAGGGCACCGAATTACTTACCGCAAGGTCGAAGGTAAGTAGAAAGACCTGGAACTTCAATATGAAGGCTACAGTAGAAACTATTAGTGTTTCATACGTGATCAGACATGCATCCCTTCCATCATAACCAAGATCGTAGGTCGTAGTTCGTACCTTGAGCTAGCTGACTCGGCTGGCAGTAAAAAGTATCCCCAGACCAGATATGATCTTATTTCCGTCATAACTCTGCACGCGCATGCCATGGCCAAGGTACCGTGCATACATATCTGTGTACATACATACAATTCTGCTCGGCAGTTGGCACAGGTGCTGGCATGCATCTACCCTGCTAGGAATGGCGCGTCCGCGGTGGATCTGAACGGCGAGTCTGCCGGATGCTACTGTATGTAAGGACTGCTCGAGTGTGATACTAATCGATTGAGTTGTGACTGGTGCCTGCGCGGAAGCGATGTTTGTACTGTAAATAGCAAACGAGGCACATACTTTTGGCCATGATAGCGGGAATCATGCAAGCATAGGTTCCGTGCCGCTCATATCCAGCAGCTCTGGGCGTAGCCTCCCCTCGCCATATCTTTGATGAGCCTGTCTGTAGTTGACTACATCTGCTCCGCGCACTCCGCAAGCAGAACGAAGTGTTCGCAAAGCGCTTGGTACGTCGAAGGTGATGGAAAACTTCGAGCACACAATGCCAAATGGACAGATCTGGGTACTTGTGAGACCCATGCCCCCAAGTGTTGGTCTGTTGGTGTGCGCTCGTGCTTGGACGGACCGAAATGCTGAAGCCTGGAGAGGGCGCAAATACATGTTCGTGTCGCTGCCCTGTAAGCGACCACGGACAAGACCTGGGGCCAGCCATGGTGTATTTTCCATACCAGCGCTTCAAAGTCTGTACGCATGTGCAGTTGCAGCACGCATGTAGGCCCCCAAGGCCATGAGATTCTGGCCAGTGCCTAGGCTAAGGCAACATATGTACATGTAGGTGGTAACGATGCTGATAGCCAGAGCAAAGTCCCCAGGCGTACGGGAATATGATC